CTCTGCTGGTGGTTCATATGTAGGGGCAAGGCGTGACTTAGATAGTAAACGCGTCCATCGTTATACAATCTACTCTACTCTTACGAGGTCCTGCTGGGGGACAGGGAAGAGCCGCCATGCCCTGCACCTGACTACTGCCCGAGTGACCATCGTGGGGGACACAGCGATCGTGATGCTCGTGAAGTGGTACGATGCCGGCTCTGGGATCACGCCGCCATCCAGGCAGATGCGTACCATGAAAGGTCTCTTGTTGCCACCGTCCAGAGGCTCGCAGGACTGCGGGGCTCAGGCAGCCTCTGTCCCATGAGCGAGACTGGCCTCGCTCGGCGCCTCCAGCACTCTGCAGCTCTGCGTCCTGCCGACCGCCGTGTGCCGACTGACAGTAGTGGGCACTGCATCGCGCAGACACGCAGTCGTCAGCCACTGTTCCGGGTTCCAGCGCCCCTTCTTCTGTGATCACGTCTGCCTGGCTGGGGTCGTCCCTCCATCCAGAAGCCCGTCCTCTGCAGCCTCTCAGGGGGGGCGCTAAGAGTTGCTTGTCCAACCCGGGGCATCATAGCGTTCATACTTCGGCTGGACAAGTATCGCGGGCCGTCCTCGTTCACTCTCTGGGCCAGGACGCCAGGTCTACCCGGGCCCCTGCCTGTCGGCGCTCACTTTCGCAGGCATGCCATATATCTGACAGGCCTGTCTCGCGCGGATGGGGGCACCTTGGTCTGGCTCATCTAAGAGTGGTCCTTCGGTTTGACACGACCCTGCATAGCACGTAACCTCTGCAGAGAACGCCCCGCCTGATGACTGCGTGTAGCCTCAGGCAGGTGCATCCTCCTTCCGCACGACTGGAGCCCGCTGTCCGCTCTTCGCTGCCGCCTGTTTGCAGCTAGGTCATGCCAGAGAGTTGCATGCAGAAGCCTTCCTCACCCAATCGTAAGCTTGTGCGATCCAGCACGTCTTGCTTAAAGAGACAAGAGATCACCCTTCCCTTGAAGACAGCCGTGCCGCTATCAAGACCCGGTTCCGTTCATGCCTGGTTCCATGTGCTTGCCGTCCTTAAGCAGACAGCCCGTGCGCAGGGGGCTATGTTCCCCGCATTGTAGGGCATCAGAAGGTGAGGCATCTTCCTTGCGTCGCATGAATCGCACTGGCCGCCTGTCTTTCCGCACAGTGTTCAAGGCCGGATGCATCGTGGTTGAAGTGCATGCAGTCTTCCCGCGCCACAAAAGGAGGGGTGCAGCATGGTTCGGGGCCGCACTCTGGGGCGTCGCTGTTTCATCCTGGAGTAGAGCGCGGGCTCCCTCGTCTGTGGAAGTCTGCTGCCATAATAACCTGCGCTCCCGTCTATGCAGCTGCTCCGCCTCGGCTGGCTTCTAGCCTCGCCCCTCTGTCCGCGACAGGGCCCTGACCTGATGTCATGTTCAGAGGCAATGCCTGGTCTGCCCGGATGTAGCAGGACCCTTAGCCCCGTACCACCATCGCCTGGGTCCATCCGAGGCGCGGGAGGCTGGCGATTCTCATGCCTGGATCCTCATCCCTAGTGACGGGCTGATCGGTGTCTCTCTGGACCGGCATGCGCAGCGATTCGAGATCTGCGAGGCAGCCATCTATCTCTGCTCGAGCACCGGCTTTGGCCACTCTCAAAGGGGCCGTGGCTTGTAAGCATGGGCTCAGCATCCTTACCAGGAGCAGGTGCACAGACAGCAGGAGGGTAATAAAGCCTTCCTCAGCACGTCGCTGGCATCCTGCACGTCCACTCTGTGTCACAAGGGCGTACAGTAGCCACTCATCGCAGCTGTGTTCGCGCTTGGCGGCCTAGGAGGCCCTGTGGTCCACCGGGCAAGCCGCTGGCGAAGAAGCAGCGGACGTCCCTTTGCCACTGCACCTAGGGAGCCCTCAAGATGCTTTTTCTGTGACGCTCCCGGCTGGCTCCAGACAAATCGCGGGAACCTCGCGCCTTCTGGACACTGTCTCCCCACTTCGGAGAGGCGCAAAAGCCACCGCTCGGCCGCCACTTGCGCCGGTTCTGTTAGCTGCTACGCGCCTGCACTGTGCAATAGGATACCCTGCCTTCGGTGACCCGGGGCGGCCTCCAGGGACCGGAGACTGTTCGCATGGCGCCGGCACTCTCGCTTGGGCCTGACAGTGACGTCCCGCTTCTCCCTACGAGACGGCGCTCCGCTGAACGAGCAGCTCTGCTGGCGGTCCAGAGGATTTGCTTGCTGGCTGTACAGGGCACAAATTAGGCCGCAGAGTTTTGCTTTATCAGCCTGCCCCTTGCGGAATTATAGATCGAGCAGCCCCTAGGCCACTGCGGTGACGCAGCTTTACTGCTGCAAACAGATTGGCAGTTGTATAAAGGTGTGCCTGTAGAGAAGCCCGTTAGTACCCTGCAGTCGCGTTGAAAGAACCTCCACTATCCCTCGATGATCCATCCTCTAGCTCAAGAGCTGTGGCGCCACATAAGGAATCGCATTCAAAAGGATTATGAAAATCATAGTTATCAGAATACTAGTAACCGTAGCAATCGTAAACGTCATGATCGTCAGGAGCATGATAATCGTGGTCATAGGAGTCGAGTAATCATAGTCGTCATAGTCGACAATAGTCGCCACCGGTCTTGCCATTGTTGCCATCGTCGGCATACCCTCCAGCTATGGGGGTGATTTCTATGTCCTCCTCCCCCATAAGAAGCTTCGCACACTCTGGCTTATCTAGATATGTTGCCCACGCGAGAGCAGACCAGCCACTGGCGTCCTGCACACATGCCTCCTTCTCCAAGAGGAAGGGTATGCACAAGGCACTGCCGTTGGCCGCCGCATGCACAAGAGCAGTCGCGCCTCTTATGCCTGTCATACATGCTTCCCTCTCTAGCAAGCTTAACGCATTCCGGATGGCGATACCGTGCTGCTATCATGAGCGCCGTCAATCATCGTCATCCCTCATGCCGTCCTCGTGCTTCACCAGAAGCCTCACTGCCTCTGCGTCTCCTCTGTCCGCAGCCCTCATGAGCGCCGTGACCCGGCCTTATCCGTAAGGTCAAGGAGCTCCAGCATCGGCCCCTGTCCGGCCTTGACGGCAGGAGTGTACACCGCGTCGCCGCCTCGTTCTTCTTGTCCTTTTCACCAAGGTGCTTCTGTGCCGTCTTGAGATCTCCAGTAACGGCAGCGCGCATCAGCCGGGTCCACGAGGAGTCCTTCGCAGGGACCCGGAAGGATAGGGACCTCGTGCCGCTCGCTGCAACCTGGTCGGTCGATTCGATGGAAGCCCCGTGCCCGTCTGCAGTGTGCTGCTCCCGCCCTTTGGTGGAACGGCCCGATGGATGCGCCAATGCCTCTGATATGCTGAGCGGCATCTTCGGGCCCTGCCTCGAAAGGACAGACTCGGCACTGGCCGCAGAGACTCGCCCGTGCTTGCCAACTCGCCGGCCTGGAGATCCGGGCCCACAGCAGACGTCCCGCACGCAGAAGCAGGCTGGCGAGCTTGGTGGCTGTTGGTCACCACTCGGGGTCTGAGGCAAAGACCCTCCCGAGGACATCCCACACGAGATCCTTCACAACAAGGCCCAGATTCGGCTTCCATCCGGCGACAAAGGGGCCTTTGCGTCTTACCCGTCCAGGAAGCTCGGCCCCTTCAAAGTGGCAGGCTCGCATGCGATAGCACCAAGGGCCCAGAGATCGGAGGCCGCGCCATCTGAGGGCTTCAGGATCCGTGTACGCGGGGCCCTCTGCCTCCGCACTGCCACTGTGCAGAGCGTTTCTGTGGACGCGAAGTCTGCGAGCACGACGCGCTGTTCGTCCTGTCTAATGAGGGCGTCGGCGGGCGTGAGGCTCTAGTGGACGATTCCCTGGCAGGGCGCTCCGCTGGCGTCCTCCCAGCAGACGTCATGGAGGTAGGTAAGCCCGGTAGAAAGCTGCTCCATGATGGACAACACCAGGCCCTCAGCGACCGGCTCGTCGGCCTGCATGTGCTCAAGGAGGAGTTGTCCTAGACTTCTGTGGCCGCGGTCCATGGTTGTGTAGACAAAGCAGCTCGTTCTGATTACCCGGTGGTATCTGAGGACGCTCGGGTGCGAAACCCTGGTGAAAGCGTGCGTCCGGAGTTCGAGACCACCCAGGGCTCTTGCGCCCAGATCGTCGCATATGCCCGCAAAGCCCCTGGAGACTGAACTCGGGGACGCGAGGGCCCTCGGGGCTTCTAGGGGAGGGAGCCTTCCCGCGCTCGTGGAACCCCCTGCAGTGCTCCTCGCAGCCGAGCGAGCATCTCTGGGCAGGCATCGCTCGACTCCGCCTCTAGCCGGCAGACTAGCGCCTCTGGCAAACACGCTCTAGTTCTGCCACTCCAACCCCCACTGCCTTGTTCAGACAGACGAGGAGCCGCATGCCAACCGCGAGCAGGAAGATCCGGCCAGTGACGTGGCAAGGCGCAATGTCTGTCGGTATGCGTCTCCTAGCACTGCACAAGAGGCGCGCTGTGGTCCATGAGCAGAAGGACGGGTCGAGCGGGAAGGCAAACCAGGGCTGGACCTCTTCCTCGGCACCAACGCATGGGAGCTGTCCGCCGGCATCCATGAGTGCGTACTCTAACTCCAAGATAGAGGCATACGGGGAGCACACCCTTGATAGTGGGACGGACACCCGCTCCACGAGATGACAAGAAAGTATCCGGTGAGCTTCGGGCCATCCCGAGGTTCATGGCGTATGCAATCTTCGTCATAGAGTACCAAGGCCCTAGGCTACGTGGCCAAGATCACTGCTTTCCACTCCATACAGAAGTTGGCCCCAAGGGGGCTGAGTGAGAGAAAGGAGAAGCCCAGACGGTGTCGCAAGAGCAAGGTCACGACGCTCAGAGCGAGGAGGCGCGACACCCCTCCCCTCCCCAGAATCGGGCGGCCTCCAGGCTCTCGGGGTCAACCGCGCAGGGCGGGGGAGAGGCCCCAGCGGGCCTGCTCGGGCAGCGGGTGGCAAGCAAATTCTACAAAGATTTACTTCTAAGAACGTAAAGGATTAGATCTTGTATTCTTGACATCCCAATATGATTCCTTCTTCAGCTGCCTGTCTTACATCGTCTGCCTTTCCAAAAACAACAGTTTGACCAGAGATAACGGCTTCAAATGAAACAGCAGCACTCTTAAGGTCATTAATGGTCATGCGACGAATTTGGCCAACAGCTCTTCTGTAATCGTTAACACTGTTGCCTTCTAACCAGTAGTCAACGGCCTGGGTAAAGCGAACTAACGGGGCCAAATCCATTTGGCGCTTACCGACGGCGCCTATTTTGAAGAAAAGAAGCTCTTCAGCAGTTAAGGTAAGGCGGTCGATATATTCTTTAATCTCATCAAACACCTTCTTTGTTTCTACCAATTGAGGATCTAAGTATGTTGTTAGATAGGACCAGCGTGATCTGGATAAAATAAAGAAGCAGCCACAAGCTCCATTTTCTATTCGTATCTTTTTTGCAAGATAATCGTAAGTGATGATATGCAAAAGCAATAATTCCGCACCAGTCAGCTCTGTCAACGGAAGCCGGCCACTTCGAGCAACATAATTAACGTTGACGGGAGCCGCCACAGAGAGCATCCTATGCTGTATGTCTTGTTCCATTTTGAGGAAGCGCTGAGAGTCCTTTTCTGGGGGGCACAAGTCCTTCTTATGCAACTTGACCGGGGTAGTTAGAAAGTGCGCGGCATGTTCAGTTATTGGGAATATGTCTGGCTTCATATTCCACTTGTTTATATCGTAAGTATGTGTTGAGTATTTGTCGTGTATAATAGCTTGAAGCTTTTGAACTATTAGCAGCCCATTAATAATTTTATCTACCACGGCTTGCGTATTGCTGGTGATAATGCGCTTATTCATGAAGGGTTCAAGTTCAGGGACATTTAAGCCAATACAAACAGCAATCGATGTGTGCCTTTGCAGAAGCCTTGCATACATGTTCTTCAGCTTCCTTGACATAACAATAGCTATCTTCAAATCATCATCGGTCAATGTGTATACATTATGCTTGATGCATTCCTCATCAAAATCAAGTCCGTTGGCGGAGGAAATTTCGGAGTCAGCCGGGGGCTCCAGCAAAGTCTTCTTCAGGTATTCCAGATAATTGATCCCATTAACATACTCATCATAGATGGCCCCGATACTCCCAGATAGTGCCATGGCACGCGTGTAAGCGATGTAGTAGCCCATTTTCTGTAAGAAGTGGCTCTCCATTTGCTCCTTATGGCTGTGAAGTATCTTGAATACTAGCTCCAGATTGCCCAATCCAACCATTGACTTTTGCCAGATTTCGCTGAGTATAAGGTGAAGGGCCTGATCCGTTTTGCTTTCTAAGAATGAAGCATCTATCCTTATATAGGCACGTGGGTATGTTTCTGACGCATTCAGTGTGTGTACGGTTGAATAACGATACTCCATAGAGACGCGGAACTTTCCTAGGACATTGCTAATTGCTAGCTGCAGCTGCTCCGGAGATTCATAGTTCTCTGTACTGACATTTCCGAGCATCGCACCTGCTAAGAAAGAGATCAAAGGCGCCTCTTCAAAGGTCACCAGTTCAGAGACGTCAATAAACATACTAAAGTGAACAATTCCATTTCCCAGACTTCCTGTATTATACACGTTTATGGGGACATCATTAAGGTGAACTCCTGGGCTATTGTGTTTGGAAAGCGATCGAGAAAATATGCGTAGCTGCAAGTAGTCATCTTCAAGAGAGACTAGGTCTGCTTCCGAGACCTGAGGAAACTCCCTGAGCACCTTCTCGTCGACTTCATTAGAGCGATTGAGTACAGCCAGTGTTTGTGCAACTAAGCCGTTTATCTCCTTCTCTGACATCATACTCTTTTTGTCCTGGAGCTCTCTTTGCTTGGCTTCTGCTATGTCCTCAGCAAGACCTGGTGTTGGGGTCAAAATAGCATCCTTCCAGGCTTTGTTGTCAATGTAGTATCTTCTAAGGAGTTCGCGCATATATACACTTATGGTACCCTCTGCTATTTTCTCTCGTAACTCTAGGAATGCCCCTTCAAACAGTAACTCTTCTTCTGGGGTCACATTGTAGAACCAAGAGCCGAAAAGTGAGGTCAGAACCTTGACGCCATAGTTAGTCTGATGCTCACGAAGCTCAAACTCAAGTCTGTCCATCTCTGACGAGATTCGGGTTGGAGAAAGATAAAACATATAGTCGGAAAGCGGATCCTGCTCTGTTCGCGTACTATTCTCATTCTCCAAAAGAAGGAAGACACGATCAAGCTCTCTGCGCAGACGACTAGTGGAATCTTCATCATATTCGCACCCGTGAAGACAAATATATGTGTATCCTTGGCAGTTAGTATCATCAGTCTCCACAGATAGTTCTGAAATAAGGCCCAACTTCTGTAGATGAGCAAGGACAGGAGAGGAAGTGGCACCAAATAAAATTCCAGAAAGGGTGTCAAGCGCTAAGCGCTCTGTTCGCGTGACTTCGTTAATGTTGAAAGTACGCCACATACGTACCAAATAGCCTTGTCGAAAGCCTACTTGAGATTCCTTTGCGATAGGGTAAGAGAGGCGCAATGGTTCTATGCACGCGTTGATGGGTAAAGCGCCTGCTAAAATAGGGGCCTTTTTAACAATGTAAGGAGCCAGCTCTTCGCTGCTCATAGATTCTAGAGGCTGCAGATATCTATCATATATCAGTGAGAGCTCCTTCTCTAATGGGAGAGTAGAATGGTAGGCTATACGACCGTTTGCCATGGTATAGTGAGTGCTGTGGTACTCGACAAGATCATCCGGCTCTAAGGTGACGATGTGATCAGGGTGTCCAATAGATGTATACATGAGACTGCCTCCATCGAATAGAGCCTGCTTAAGAGCGTGCACAGCGATGTGGATGGGCTCTGAGAAGGCCACTGTTAGCTCATTAAGGATGGCGCCTCGCAGCTCCAGCTCTGACGTATTGCTCATAAGGTGCATGGACCACGCTTCCTGGTGAAAGACTCGCTTGTCGTGAAGGAGTGCAGGACAGAACACCGCGTCGAGATAGATGGCCATTATATTCAGATAGTCCTTTTCACAACGCGACGCAAAGGGATAAAGAGTAAATGTGTCGTAGGTTCCAGCGTTAAGGTACGTTTTAAGAGATCCTTGTAACAGCTGGCCAAATGGATCTGGAAGAGGATAACGGTCGGAACCACAAAGAACAGAACGGCTGAGAATGTGCGGAAGGCCTGTATCAGAGGTTGGAGGAGTGCAAAAGCCAATCGAAGCACTGAATTCCGGGTAACTTGCCTGAAGCGGGGTCAATTTGATCGCTCGAAAACCAGTAAGCTTGTGCTCTAGTTCGATCAAGGAGCAATCTATCTCTGGTATCTGTTCAACCGTGCGAACGACGGTGAAGCCCGAAATGACACTTCCTATTGGCGGAGGCATCTCTCACTTTTTATAAATTAAAAATATCGCGTCTTGTGGCGTTCTTTGCAGCTTGGTTGCCCCGGACTTTGAGGGAGTCACCAACAAAGAGACCGCAAGCATCAGCCAGCGTACCACGGGGAATACTTAAGAGTTTAAGATTTCAACCATGGCATCCTTAGCCACATCCCAGTTTATATTTCATGATGACACAATAGACATCCTTGTGGGCAACAGGGTTGTTAACAATGTGCAGCTTACAAACTCTTGCATCTTGGCGCTGCACAGAATAGGAAGATTTGATGTGCCTCAAGTCTTTGCCGTCTATATCAGTAGTGAAGAGCCAGGCCTTCATTCTATCCTTTTCCGTCTGTCGACGATTAAGGATGTTGCCACACTTGTCCCGCTGATGCGTATTGATATTAGCTCCATAATGTCAAATTGTCCGGGATTGACTGTGTCCCACCTTTTTCCAGAGCATACTAAGATTCTTTTGTACCTTCGAGAAGAGCACATTTGCATCCAGTTTTCTCCGTCTTGTATCATTTACGCAAACATGCGACTTTCGCACCGTGTGGATACTGGCGGTGTGTACCGCTTTGTGCTTCCTTCGACTGCCTCATGCATGCTGAACATACCGAATCCAGAACACATTACATCCATGGATGCTAACGAGTACCTGTACGCATGTGTAGGAAATGCGCTTTTACGGACCAAGACTCCTATAAATCTTCACATACTAAGCAGGCGACAGACGCCAATGATGTTTAAGAGGGTTGCAACACTATCCACTTCTGGAGAGTATGTTTGTCTCAATTGTAGTATACTTTCTGACTCTACCCTTTCCGAAATCGACACTCACAGACCGGGTTACAAGCATGCTCCTACATTGTTAAAAAGGCCCATAGATATTGCTCCTTTATCACAAAAGTTTTCTCAGCAACTTCAGTCTGCTTACCCTCCTCTTCCGTCTACCTTGTTGACTCACAAGTGGCAAAAAGAGATCTCTACTGCATCTCATCTCTCTACTAACAGTACCACTTTTATTAAGCACTATATCATGAATATCTCGGGTAGTAGTCAGACTCCTGTGTTTCTCATCGGAACTCTGGTTCATGACACAACAGGGTGTTTCTCTTTCTTCTCAATTAATATCTACACACTCTCTCAGGTGCCAATGAGCGACTGGAAACGGTACACAAAAAATGAGATGACTTCTGCATCTATGTTTAGACTGTGCAAGACAGTTGGAAGAATCAATTTGGATGAGCTGTGTACGTACAGGTTTCCTCTTGCCACGGAAACGGAAATGAAGCCTCAGCAACTAGGCGGTCCGTCGTTGTGTCATACTAAGACATACTTAGATAACTTCACCATCTCTCCATTGCGAGCTATCAACAATTCTTTCTTTTTCTCTATGAGCTTCATGGCCCGATATACCGATACAGACGCATTCCGTTTTTTCTATGCTTTCCAGGTTAACTGCGAATCTGCAAACATCCGCCTGGTGATGAAGCAGATCTACTTGTCTGTGCCTCGAGCCCCCGACTGCAATGAGTTTGCACTTACTGAGCAAACGATTATCAATAACACAATTGCAGGGGTACATCTGGTCTCCTTTATATCGGATAAATCGGAGAATCTCCTATACATTCACGATAACACAAAGGTGTACTTCCTTATGATGTTTAACGAGAAAATCAAGTTTGTGTCCGGTAGGGATCTCACCCTCTTCATCTATTCGTATGCAAATAACGAGCGCGATGTCTTTAATATTTACAACTTAGAGCTTTCTGAGAATTGTGCATCCCTTCCGGCGGATGGCTTAGAGGCGCAGGAACATGGAGGACTGTTTGAGGCTGTAAGCTATAAGTATGTGTCTAAATATAGTGTCGGGCTGGCTGCTACATTCTTGCGCCTGGTTGGCTTTGGAAAGAATCTGATGATGATACAAGGGATTGCAGGAGCTGCTATGCCTTATGGAAACAAGACCGACAAATTAGATGGAGAACTAATTAAGATAACTATATTTTCTGAAAAAGACGGGAACTATTTGTCTTCCTTCAAGTACTTAGTCCTTCCACACACATCTCGTGACTCTTCTGAAGCGTCTCTAAAGCACGCACTATTTACTAGCTTTGAGAGGTATGGGCAGCTATACATTGCTTTCTGCACTGAGTATGCTGCCGACAACAGAGTTCAAATGACCGGTGACACGCTCAAGGTGGATAGTCTTGCACGAATAGCTTCCACAGCATCGATCACTAGAACATCCTCTATCACGACCATAGGGTCAGACCACTCCACTGAGTCTCTCCTTACTATACCGTCCGATCTTTCCGACGCGTCTGTGAAAACATCCTCTGGCTTAAAGAACCCGGAGCCTCTTCCTGGCTTCCCGTGCCCGAACATAGATACCCATTTGGATCAGCACACTCGGAGCACATTCATGATTCGAGACTTTAACTTGCTGACCATTGTGTTTACTATGTCTGGAAGATATCTTTACTCCACAGGTTTCCAAGACTTAGAATACGATGCTCTTCCTTCGACGGAGAAGGTTACAAGTGATCCGTCTGATGACCCTCAAACGAGTTTCTTTTCTAGCGGGGTGACACAATTTCGCTGTCTATTGCGCAGATCAAATTTAATTCCTCATCGTTTGTTCTATGTTCTTCCAAATGACTGCTTGCGATTATCTTTTATTACCCCATATGAGCTGCGTGCCCCACTGCAGCGCCACAAGATACATGTAGAGCGCTTCTTTTTGCCATTTCTTTCAATTGCCACATGCTTCCTTTCCTCTGCGCCAAGCATTCTCAGAACATACACTGCTCACCTGCACACAACGCTTTTTAGGCGCTTTATTACAAATGTGCTGACATCCAGCCACTACCTCTTCAACATTACTCTCCGGGACAAGCTGGAACCAGATACTATCATGAAGTACGCCTTCTTCAACCTTTACGATGTTTCTGTTTCGATAAGTGAGTTCACCTCTATTTTACTCTTATCTACTTCTCAACATTATGACTATGACTCTCATCTTACAAATTACATCGTAACAAAATTATTGATGTCTAAGGATCTTCCAAGAGATAGACTTCTCCCTTACCTAGTCACCGGCGTTCTCTGCTTAACAAAGCAGCTTGGGCCAAAAGGCTCAGATAGTATATCTCAGGATCTGGCGTATGATCTGCCCAATTGGTTGGAAACCTACCTTTCTGCTGATCATGTCGCTGTTGATTATACATTGCTGGCTGCCCACTCTGGGTCTGTGCCTCGTATTTTCTTACCGGAAGCACATGCTTTCAAAACAGGCCTGCTCAGAGTTCTCCCGTCTGTCTATCTTAGGGGACTCTTTATCGCCATTGGTGACACAGAGTACCGCTTATCAAAAGTGCCGAATTCAGTGGTCACCTTCTACTATGTAATAACCAATCGACTTGTTGTACTTGCAAACCTTTATCTGCGTGCACAGAATACCAAAGTAGCCACTTTCCTTAAATCCCACACGTACAACGGAGAAGACAGCGCGAGATCGTTTGAGGTCGCCAGGAAAAACGCATTTGTATTACTGACGAAGTGCGATTATTATATGGCAGCAGCATGGTTCGTCTTGGCGGCCGATTTTGAACACATGGTTACTGTTCTTGTTGATAAGCGCTACATGGCCAACATAGATCTTGGGCTGGCAGTTTTCAGGTATCTGCGAGACACCATGTCTGATTCACTTGTTAAACTGACCCAACTATCTTCGACATTCGTCATCACACCTGATCATCTTACATCGATGGAAAGAGTTCTTTTTAACTCCACAATCAAGGAGTATGTTGTCACAGAAGATACAGAGGACACTGGGAGCCTATCTCCGCAAAAGCATACAGTTATCAATCTGGAAAAGTCTGAGATATCAAGGTTGTCGTACAAGATGTCATCAAGCAGAATTCACAAAAACATCACTGATTTTACCTCTCACTGTATGGCAGCATACGATATAATCTACTATTACTTTGTTCTAAGTCAATACGAAGACAGCAGCGAATTTCTTGCTGCAGTTATTACAGATGTTGTTGCTGCGATCATCTCGTTTACGCAGCACACAACTCTAGAAAATGGTACACCAGCGGATATGCACGAGGCTATCTCTGTGGTACTGCATGTACTTCACAACTTCATATTCCTTTGCGTCCATTACAAAATGACAAACGAGATCCGGAGCATCTTGAACGCACTATATCGACTTTACTCATGTAACATGTTTGGGCCCATTGAGAAGTTGCGAATTCTTAATCTGTCCATGTATATTCTTGCTCTAAGCAGGCGCACATTTGCTGCAGTGGAGGGTCTAGGATCGTTCCTCCTACTTTCAGATGTCAAGGTCTCTCAGAGGCAGCTCTTTAACGCGTTTGAGCTCTCTTTCGTGTCACTGATCCACTTACACTCTAACACACTTTCAACGTCTCTGCTCTACAATGCGTTTCTTTATTTTCTAAACCCTAGCCGATATCTTGGCAGCAGCTACACATCTCGAATGAAGAAGCTAAGAGAGCAATGCGACATTGCAGCAGAAAAAGAGATAGCAGCCACCGGGAAGGATGAGTCTTCAGACAGTCAATCTGACCGCTTCAGACGCATACTATCTACGTTTGTGTTTTACCTTTGCTTGGGATTCTTCACTGGAGATGGGAAGAGAGCTGCTAACCTCATGTGGGAGAAATATCAGTCTGAGGTAGCAGAGCATATTTTGTTCACTCAATTGAAGCGACGCCCAAGCAGATTTGACATAGAAAATGCCCACCTAAAAGAGGAAAGAGTTATCAGACGCCGTCGCCTCTGTGCGGCAAGTGTGCCTGACGGCTATATTGATGACAATATCGAGCTTGATAATGACAACGACGAGAGTGACAGCAATAACAGTAGCTATAGCTATAGCGATGACGAAAGCTGTCATGAGCCTATAGAAGCAGACAGTGAGGAAGAGGTTATGATCAAGGAAAAGAGTCATGATAAAACTAGGGTCCATTTGAAGAATCGCCGCTGCCGGCTGCAGACACCAGAAGAGATTCAGCACCTGTGCAGAATTGTCCATGCGTATTTCAAAACTATCTTTGGTTTCACACAGTCTCCTCGTATCATAGATCATACTACTCAGATTCTAAACTCGTTTGAAGCAACTATTCTTCCTGTCGTCAACACCACTATTACAGCAGCTACGTCTAAGGAGATACACGATATGACCGACTCCTTACTTAACTTGATTTCAACCCTTTCAACAGGGGACGAGGCGTCTAAGCAGCTCTTGAATTCAGTGCACTCTGAGGCGCGCGTGTTGCAAAGCGAGTCTGAATATCAATCTATGGCGACATCGGATAGAGATAGCACGTCTATTATCCAGCAGTTGTTATTTAAGCGTCGTGAAAACCCCACCTCGGCTAGCTCGGATAGAGAGCTGCTTAAACAGCCAAAGCACAGAGAGAAGCGTGTGATAACGATCTCGGATATGGAGATGCATACGACCATGCTTTCAGATGCTATGAATGGTCCGTACGATACTCCAGGAGAAGATGACTATGATAGAACTGCGCGTACACCTTTTGCAAAGCATCCTGTTTTACGCCGCAGTCTTGGGTTTGTAATTGTAACAAAGAATAACACATTAATGATTGAACAATATGATACCCTACTAGAATTCTATTCATATCTAACACTGACCCCGGGCGGCTACACAAGGTATGTGCCAGCAGCCTTTAATTCTGCACTGGCTGCAACAGCCCATTCTATCTCATTGTCGCGTAAAGAGGCCTCGACTATGGGCTTTGAAATGCTCTCTGTTTTCCTTACTCACGGGAGCAATAGCTTGTCACATCTTGTGCGACATGGCTTGTCAGCAACTAAACGTGTAGAGCCGATGAACTTTGATTGCTTCCTTGCAACGCATGCTCAGAATTCGATTTCGGACGTTCGGATCTCCAATCTTTTTTACATTTTAATTGCACTACATGAATACACAATTAACAATGGGAGCATGCTTCTTTTTAGAAACACCATGCAGAGCAAGTATGGATTGCAGATTCACCTCAATCAACTTATGGAGAAGACAAGTAACTGCCCGTACAAGGATATCCTTCCTGCCTACCATGCCATCTTTAAAGAGATCCAGCGCAATGCACTCACCACGGATGAGGTCTCCTATCTGGAAATACTTGAGCACGCAGGCACCACCTTTGTGGAAAGATTACTGATAGCTAAGAAGCTCATTCTATTAGAGATTTACTATATTATCAGTAGGTACAAGACGGTTCCTACGAAAGAATCGCGCATCCATCATATGAGAGCAGCGCAGGACTCCGGTGGTGGGGCGCTAATCCCATCAACCCTGATAACCTTCCTCAAGAACCCGTTTGTATGTTTCCTAAACGGGCTTCTCAACCATATCTTCTACTCTCCGCGGTTGGCACTGAATGCTACACCAATTAGTGTGTTGCATAAGACACAGATTTCAGGAAGTCTTGCTGAGGACTTACTGCCCGTTTTAAAGGACACCCTCTTTTGGCAAACATACATAGCAAAAGATTGGAAGACAAGTTATGCGGCCAGCGAGCGGTTCTTTGACAGCAGACTTCTAAGATACTGCATTTTTCTCTCTAAGTACATCCTTCTTTACTTGTACCCCTCCTCTATCCTTGTGTTCTCCATCGTGCAGAATAACAATCCATCAAGCACTACCACAGTGGACGGGACAATGGTGTCTATAGATACCTTCGAGGAGTATGGTGCAACAGATGAAAGCGACAGCGGAACCTCTCTCGATGGGAGCTCTGATGTTCCACCAAGATTGGCACGACGAGGTCGCTTAAAGAGCCGGGGACGGAAGGATCATCAGACTAGGCGTATGTATGACCTCAGATTAGTGCTTGAATACACGAATGTTACTTCGTTTATCCAAACGTCTAAAAACACTTTCTATCTCCTTGTCAAGTCAAACTATATCATAGGTGTCACGTTACATAAGGACGGCGACGAGGTTGCAACTGTTTCAGCACCTATTTCCACAAACTTCGACTCGGAGAAGCTGATAGGTGGATTAGATACCATTAATGACTTAGGGGTTTTGTTTAGCAAATCTATGTACTCTGTGTTCTGCAAAGATGGTATCGTGGTTCCAGCAGTTCAAAATCGCAACATTAAGTTTGGCCTGACAGATGCATCGTTATCATTGAAAACTGCCACTATTCATGATATGGCACTATTCACCAACTTCCAGGCGTTGGCGCTAGTCTCCTATCTTGAGCATGGCTCTTCCGACAACACTCCACCCAAGCTAATTCTCGCCACGGTCAACCTTCTTAATTGCTCCATCATCGACGGCATTGAACTTGAAGAGGCATACGTCCATATTGTCTTGACTAAAGTGCGCGACATTCAAATTCTTCTGCTTTTTGGCGCGAAAGAGTACTGCATTCTGTGCAAGCATGTGGCAGGAGCAACAGACACTTATATCAAGGCGGAAGGTGGCCTTCTTCCTGAGGACGTGGGATCAGCACTGGTTCTTGCTGAGGCGCTTTGTGAGGGAAGCCGGGTCATCTACAGGCTTGTCTACGCCGTGGGACGGGGTGCCGTGAAGACCCACGTCATCACATATCATGTGAACGTTGTCTGAGATCTTCCGTTTACAAGAGTATTCATTGCTTACTCATCGAAGAAGCCCGCATAGGCCTGCTCCTCGATGCTACAGTCGTTTATGCCGCGGATCATGCGGAAGTAGCCGTCCTCGCCCCAGTCAGGACCCCAGGAGTTGCGGATGATCCAGTAGTCAACGCCGTCGTCGTCTGTGCCGTAGCCCACCATCTCGACTGCGTGGCCACCCTCCATGTATCCGTAGGTGTGCTGGTAGACGCCGCTCTCGTAGTACATGAAGTCGGAGTAGACCAAGAAGGCGACCTGGAGAGGGCCGCTCGTGGACAGGGCCTTCATCATGGCGGGTATGTCAAGCCCGTAATCCTTGTAAGACGTGGCGGTGGCCAAGTGAACCTTGCTCGATCCATCGGCGCACTTCGTCGGGCAGGTGCCACGGAGAGTTGTCGACCCGCTCTTGTAGGGGACGCACTCGTCGGTGGTCGTTCCAGTCTTGGTAAGGAACTTCCAGACATTCGGGAGCCAGCCCCCATTGCAAGCCATGTCGCCATGATCACAGGAGACCACGTACTGTGGGGAGTACTTGACAGGCTTCTTGTCGAGCCCAGCGACGCAGCGGCGATCACCAAAGGTGGCAACAGAGGAGAAGGCCCAGCAGGAGCCGCACCCGCCCTGGTCGACAACCTCGGGGATGCAGTGAGGATACTCCTCGCGGAAGTCAAAAGACTCAGGCACGTCGTCCTTATCGGTAAAAGTGCCACGGGGTGCGGCGCCCTTTGCGTTCTTAAGGAAGGAAACAGGCATAAGGAGACTCGAGATCTCGTCCTTCGTGAGCCCCTCGAAGCGCTTCGGGATGCCCGCCTTCCACCTGGGATTCAGGGACTTGATGTGGTTAAGCTCGGAGACCGTCAGGGCGGGCGCAGAGAAAGCTGCAGCGGCGAGGAGAAAGAGCTTCATTTTAAAATTGGAGGAAAAGCGTGGACCAAAAAAACAAAAAATGAAATCGCATTCAGAACAATACAGTCTGACACCCAGTAACACTAAAAAAACGTTTGACTGTTCGGATGATCACCGCAGAGAAGGTAGGGAAAACTCCGTCTGTGTAATAAAAGGGATCCAGGCGGCCTCTGTGAAGAGTTTGTTGCTATCTGCAGATGCGTATGCCGGAAAGACCAGATTGTATGTCACTCCCTGCTCGAGTCGAGATGCTGTTCTGATCTGGTCTCCCTGGACACTATAGCAACGGCTTTCTGCGACAATGGTTTTTTTGAAAAGACCCAGTAACAGTGTCACGTACACAAAGAGTTGCATATACGAGGCGTCGCTCGGGAATCTTGAGGGTATTGCTTCCAGATTATTGTTAGCAGCACTACAAACTGATTGAACAAGAGACGGTGGACTTTCGCCGCGTTCTAATGGAGCTGTCAGCTTTGTCCTTCCACAGCAATCTGTACTGTTATTAAAATTGCTCAGCATTGCCAGCACGAAGTGTAGGCTAGACAGGAAGTTTGGATCACGTTCTTCCAGCTCATTAGTCTTAGAGCTTGCGATTACGCTTGCAATATGGACCAGCGCGCATTGAACTTCGTTTCCCCACTTATTTAAGATAAAATAGGCCCCAAGTTGCATCGAGAGGATACTAAGTTCATCTGAGTCCTTGTTACTTCCTAATTGACGGTGCTTGCGATAGTTGTAAATGACTATCTCCTTTTCTGGAAGTAGAGTTGCGGGTAGAAAGTACAGAAGAAAGTAGAACATCTGCTTCTGCATCCAAACGTACGTATCGTTTGAGAGCGAAAGCATGAGGTCGTGTAGGGCGATATAAGGGTTGTCGGCCCCTGTCTGGAGACTCTGGATGCGTGCTTGGTTGTGGGCCATAACATCCCTTGTATGCTTAGCCAAGGCTTGTACCTCGAGCTGTACCTCCTCCAGACGCACCTCCTTGTAGTTAGTATCCTCTGCAATACCAAGTGAATTATCGCGATGTTCTAAATCGGATGTGTATTTCTCAACTAGTTGACGTAGGAGCGTCTCCAGTGGAATATCTAATAATGCTCTCATAACACTCTCTTCCCCTTTCTCCTTGATTGCTCCTGAGACTGAATGAGCAAAAGAGAGCTCTGAAGAAAAGGGTGGCAGGATGCTGTTAGCGCCATATGTATTCAATAGGTATGCCCGCAGTGACGGGTTCTTTGCGTCAGTTGTCGGCGAATAATAAGGACTGAGGAGTAGGTCTGCAATGTCATCACCATTGGTGTTGCTTGATAATTTCACCGGATGTTCCTCTTCGGTTGTATTGAAACTTTCTTTTTTCTCTTCTTGGCTGGTGGATTGCAACGCGAATAGACTGTGTCTCCCGGTCTCATCCTTGGGGTAAATATACTTTATCGACGAGTCTCGTATCTGTAGACCCAGTAGTTCCTTAGTGAAGTCGATTACAGTAGTTCCACCTGGTTCAGACCAGGGGCACAAGAGGAAAACTCCTGATAAGAACAATAGAGAGCCTTGCACGTCGACGCTGTTGAAGAACGGAGCAGGATGCTCTGTTAACGTGTCATGCTGCAGTGAGTAGTGGAGATACTCAGACTTGCGGCAGTTGCTCGCTTCCTGGGCAATAAGCACTATGGAATTCTCTGTGATGGCGACAGAGTTGCGAATGGGTAGGCCATGCAGGTGTGTGCTTTGAGCACTCATCACCATTCCACTTGGACCTAGATTGATCTTATGAAGGTTGGCCTGAAAGGCCGGTACGGATGCTCCATCACAGATAGGATGGTCCGTAAGGAAGTAAATAACCATTGCAGCATCATGCTTGAGAGAGGTTGGAGGGTCTTGTATGTCTGCCTTGTGAATGGAAGCGACGCATTTAAAACGTCCAGAATGGCCCCTTGGGGGAGGCGGAGGGGGCGGGCTTTTGTTGCTTATAAAATTTGGCGGGGTAGGTGGCAGAACTTGGAGCTTGATGAAGAAAGGTCTTTGTTGTTTACCAGGGTCAGTAGTCGGCTCCTGCATAGAACAGACATCCACCAATTGCATCGCAACATCCTGACCCTCTATAAGTCTATATGCTGTTTGTACCAGTCGCAGCTCATTGCAGTCTTTCCTGAAAAGAAAGATGAGATATTGACTAACACCTTCGACATCCACTAAATTGCATAGTCCCAGAGGCTTCATGATCTCCCTTAGCTCTGTGACGCACACTCTTGGCTGTATCATCAGAGAAACAGTGAGCCTTGCACTGATTATAAGCACTAGGTCTTTAGTGCTCACCACGAAGAGCCTCTCTCCCTGATGCGCCGGAATACATTCATACATAATTTCAACCCATGAAGAACCCTCTAGAACATCGATGCTTATCGCTGTGCCCCTATCATGTAATCTGTACGTGTCATTTTGATGATTAAATAGCATTTTTATCACAGACCTGCATGCACATAGAATGGCCGAATAAAGTCATAAGTTTACTAAAAGTTAGTCAGATCACGGCTCCTCCGAGTCTTGATACTCCAGCCCCTGGCCGTCTGGGATGAGCGTGGTATTTTGTTCACAGAATATTGCATCTTCCCGGTCCATCCTCTTACGAAGACGAATAAGAAGCACTACTGTAACAACGATGAGAATGAGTACAATAATGAAGACAATAACTCCTACTATGAGGCCTGTATTTGTCTGGCTGTTGCTCTTTGGGAAAACGCATATGTTGACGCCATTGAATAAGGACAACCGGTATCCAGCCACACACTCATAACATGTGGACCCGCTGGAGGAGCCTCTCTTCTCGATACAAAGACGACACCCTTCCGAGCACGGATTAATGGATGCATCCTCGGAATTGTAGTAGTATCCATCCATCGCCAGGTTGCATTGAGTCCCATTGTCGCAACTCAAACAGTTCTCCATGCACTGCTCTATTGTTTTAGATTCTGTGATATAAAACCCTTTTGCTGCTTTCTCGCATATAGACTTACCATCCTTTTTTTCCAGGCTGCAAATCTCACAGTTGGGATCGCACTGCTGGCAGATCATTGTGATTGGCGAGCTCGTTGTGTCGAGGGTCAGATAGAATCCTTGTGCACACACGGAGCAATGATATTCCCTTTCACATAACTCACAGTTGGCCAGGCATTTAACACATTGTGTTCCAGCGAGATAGTAACCTGGTGCACAGTTAGTACACTCAAAAGACGCAGTGCCTGTTTGCTTACATTCAGCGCAATTTTCGATACACGTAAGGCAGCTGGATACCCCGTTGCTCGTTGATAAGAAGTATCCTGGAGCACATGTGCCACAGGAAGTGGCGGAGCTGCAAATAGCACAGTTATCCATGCACTTTGCGCAAGTGTGTGTCTCAGAAACATAGTACCCAGTCTCGCAGCCCAAACATCGACCATCAGAAAGACACTTCAAACAGCGGTCTTGGCAAGAGAGACACTCTCCATTAAACAGGAACATCCCTGACTTACAATCCGTGCATGTTCTGGTATCTCCGACGCACTTAGCACATCCAAGTGTTATGCTCTCACAGAAAATGCACTGTGGTCCACCCTCGGGGCCAGGAGACGCATTAGAAGCGCAGATCAGACAGACACCTGTCGAATCGCAAACCTGGCAGCCAGGTATATGAGCACAGGAGATGCATGTATCCTGCTCCCCCGACGGGCTTGGGTTAAGGTAGTACCCTTCGTCACATGTTGTGCACTGGGGTGTACCATCATTCGTGCATTCTACACAATGTGCTATGCCACAACCCTTGATAACGCACTGCCCATTGACCAATGTTGCTATGTCCCTGCACTTAGAACACTTGTTGGAAAGAGGAGGACATTGAATACAGTTTTCCAAAGACACGCCAAGACATTTGTACGTGGTACACATATCACCGCTATATCCCGATAAACAAGAAGTACACTTACTCAAGGACTCACAACTGGCACAACCTAAAGGGCATTCAACACATGATTCATAGAAGATATTATCAAGCGTGTAACTCTTAAAGCGCCCACTGCTGCAAGAACCGCATGCATTGGGATCAATCTGGTCACAGCTGGCACAGCCCTCGAATAGGTTAAACCCACATTGCCGAACAACACAGTTCACGCCACTTAGTCCAGATTCGCAAGGTGTACAAATCCCGCTAGTGTTTGGTGCGTACCCATCAAAGCAAACGCCGCACTTTCCCGTCGTCCCACAAGACGTGCAGTGCTCCAATTTCTTGAGTCCGCACTTCAGAAGGGAGCACTCAGGCCCTAAACGCCCATCTGGACATGCCACGCATTTCCCCAAGCTCACCAAGACACCGTCAATCATTGTCTGTTCATAGACATCTAGCTTGTAGTCATCGTTGCACTCCCTACACATCATACTATTGTCAGGGCCGCAGACCTTACAGTCATAAATAGCAAAGCCGTTACACTGCTTTTGGCGGCAGTTGTTGCCACTGGTTCCCTCAGGACACGGCTCACACCTACCTTCGTCGGTCAACTGATAGTCCTCATCGCAAGTCTCACAGGAAGCTTGTATGCCCTTACATTTTGAGCAATAGGGGATTACAGTACTAGCACACAACCTATCTGCACAGTTCTTTCCCATTCTATCGTCTTCGCACGCAACGCATCGATCCCCTACTCGGTGGCTTCCAAGAGCACATGTCTTACAGCCGCTGCCATCTTCTGTGCACTCTTGGCAATTCGTCATTAGAATGTTGCACATGATATCTGCACAATTGTATCCCGTGGTGTTTGTCTTGCCAAGATCCTTTGTACAATCATAGCATGCAGAAAGATCTGGGTACTTAGGCCCATATCCATTATCACATGTTTTGCACAGAGATCCAGTCTTAGTACATGTCACACAGTGCTCAATTTCTTTTCCTCTACATGAAATTGACACATTTAGGCTTAGTGGCGGACTTGATGACAGATTGCTATCTTTAGCATCAGGGGTTTGCGAACAATAAAGTATAAAGAGACCAAAAAGCAGGGTGATAGAGGAACAGGGCATCTTCCAAAACCCAATAACCAGAGCCAAACTGCTTTTTTATTTTACAACCTATTAATGTCTAAGTATTATAGTTTACTCATTCAATAACAAGCTTCGACGCTTTTCGCTTGATTTCTCGGACAAGTTGTTCATAGGCCTTTGTATTTTCTCGTGTCTCTTGAAGTATGGAGAAGGAATTTGTCTTCATTTTGGAGTAAAAGGACGGGGTCGGTAGCCCCTTAGGTTCGTCTGGCGGAGACTTTTCAAGGTCCTCTAATGAGACACACTGCTTGTAGATAGAGAGAATGGCCTTGGCGATTTGCCTTCTGTAGTCCGTGGAAGTCATAAAGCAAGGGTAGTCGACCGAGTAAATTGTAGTCAGAATCCTCTCTTTTACTTCTGAAAAGCACGTCTTTACAGCTGGGTGGTTCCTTATAGCGGCTAGGGAGTGAAAGTCCAGGACCACAGCTACCATGAAGGTTTTCCAGCTGTAGTTCACGCCCTTAGAATTGAAGCGTATCAGATCATTTGTCCACTTTACGCGACAACTGTGTATGTCTCGCTGCTGAAACAACTCTTGTGCCTTAGAAAAGTCCAAGGACTCCAAGATTATGAACTGAATAAGTAGCTGGAGGTTGTCTACAAAAGACCAATGCTTGTAGCGCTTATTGGGCTTCGACTGCTGTTCGTCCTCGTCACTTGGCGATGCATTCTTTATTCGGTCGAAGTTGGGGATCGTAAGGGTCGGCATTTCTATGTGCTCGAAATGATTTGGATTTAGTAACGCGTCTCTGTGCTGCTCGAGAATCTTCTTGTCAAATACGACTGTGTAATACTGCTGAATAGTCATTTTCAATTTATCGCCAGGGGTATGGATGTCTACATCCTTTCTGTTGCCCCCCTATCCCTCCTTATCCGTGCCCTGAACAGTAGTAATGCAGTGCTGGTCAATGTTCCAGGCGGGACGCAGCGAATCCTGAACTCAAATAAGCTAAAGGTAGGAGATATATCCACAGTGCTCCTGACCAATGCACACCCGTATTTCTTAGAAGGCCTCTCGGGGCTTCTCCAGACCTTATGCAATAACGGCCCTCCGGTGACTACTGATCTACTGACGAGCGACCCCAGTGTTCTTGATCTTCTAGAAACACTCAACAATTTTGCACATACACCATATTGGGATGGACGCACTGTACTGTTTAGTAAGACATACCAGGACTATTCCACTGCTTTGTATGCGATACGCGCCATAATCCTGGATTCAGAAATGCCACTCTTATTCTCCATAGAGCATGTTGTGACGAAGCGTAAGTTGGACAAGAAGAAAATTAAGGAGCTAAGATTGACCGGTCTTCAATGCAAGGAGCTGGCAGCTGGAAGCACGGTTGTTCATGAAGGTGTCCCCATTATTCCCGATGATGTCTCTGTGCTGGCGACTACCCGTAGCGTTATCATTCTAATGGATACATACTATCCCGAGAAAACAGAGCAAATACTCTCAGCCGTGTTAGAACTAGTTCAAAAGGAAGGGTCGTTTCTTATTTGTGCATCTGAGCGGTACAGGCCTCTGTTATCAGCGAAAGTGTTGAAGCGGAATACGTTAGATATTGTATACTGTGCCGACAGCTACACCCTTAAATCTCCAAATGATCCAGGTGTTCTCACGGCATATGCAGATTTTGTTGGTTTGCGCAGAATTTGGAATGTACTTGTTCCTCATGCACTTATACCTCCTCTCGAATCGTGTTTGGCCTCAGAAACTCCCAGTCTGACAAGGTTTTTTCTCAGCACTGCTCTAGAGCGATTTGCTCCGATTCGGCTTTCTACTTTGCAAGACCTTATATCTAGCCTGGAAATCTATCCCCAATACTCTGGTTTGCTTACAGAGACCGATCCCAGCTTAGCTCCCCTAGCGTGCGTTCACAGTCTAGATGTTCCAGGGCTATTACTCTTAGGGACCGGTGCTTCGGTTCCCTCCAAATATCGCAACGTGTCTGGTTACCTGGTTGTCACATCTAGTCGACATACAGTATGCATTGATCCTGGAGAGGGGACCCTGCAACTATTGGAATGGGCGGCCAGGGGCATATCGGTTTCAGACTTGGTTGTTAGCTTGTCTTTTATTGGCATTACACATAGTCATGCTGATCATTATCTTGGATTATCCTCGCTGGTTCACCGGTATTTGCTCGAAGTCATGCGCCTCACAACTGAAGGTGACACAGAAAAACTACATCCTTTGATTATATTGGCGGGATCAACAGAACTGTCCTTTTTGGATCACAGTCTTAAGACCCTTGAAAAATCTTATCAACAACTAGCAAATATGTATCTGCAAATATTACCTAGAGAGGCAACCAACTATTTAGGAAGACTTACCTCCCTTCCGGAGTTCTTGGATGGGTGTCAATCTACTTCTTACTACCTGACAGCTGTACGCGACATTCAGTTTCTCTGTGTGCCATCTGATCATATCCCCGGCTCTATCTCCATATTCTTGAGGGACAACTCCTTGCAGATCGGTATCGGTATTAGCGGAGATACCAGACCCTCTCCGGCCTTCGTTTTTGGGGCGCAAATGCTTAGAGAGGCTAACACTAGGTTCCTAATAATTGTTCATGAAGCTACTTTTGCTGATTCTGAGCAGGATCTTGCTGCACTAAAGGGACACAGTACAATAGGCCAAGCAGCCGAACAAATACGAAAATGTGGAGCAGACGTGGGGATTTTCACTCACTTTTCACAGCGATACACAAAGAATATTCCAGAATTGTCCTCTGATAAGGATCAGGAGGACAAGGAGGCTCCAATTGACAGGCCTGTCTGCTTGTACGCATCTGACATTATGTGGCTACCAATTGAACAGCATTCAAATCATCATAGTGTGCATAATTTACCTGTGTCAATCCAGCCCTGGACAGATCTAGCCTCAGTTGTAAAGCAGCTCTATGTAATGGCTGACTGTTCCGCTATCAATTGAATATGTTATGGAAAAAGCGCGAAATAGCGTTCCCCGACTCTCTAGTTCGCTTTGTAAATCGCGGGGGAGGGTCCATAGCTGCCCCGTAGTAATCTTTGTCGCGATGGTAATTCTCAAGCAAGCTTTCGAAATACTCTAGCCCATTTATGGATGAGCTATCAACCCCATTGAATATTCCATCGAAGTAGACACGGCAACACAGCTCCTTGACTAATGAGTGCACCATAGTAAATATAGTGTTGTCCGTGCACGACACCTCTATAAGCAAATCAACAGAATTGCTGACTAGCTTCATGACGAGGTCAAAGGGCGGCGTGTCAATATCGAGTTTGTTAAGACTAAAGGCAGGATGAAATATATACCTTACATGTCTGATGGTCTTATGCGGCGGTGGCTCAATCTGTAGCTGTATGTTAAACCATCCGTCCGGCCTCAGTCCAAGGCGGATTGACTCTGGGGAACACTTTGTTCTTATGGCGACATTCTTTATCTTCCATCTGCGCTCTCCCATTGGTCCATCCATATCTATGTTTGCGCGGCATAATGGGCATGAAGTATTGTCATAGTGTAGCCATCTAATGAGGCAGATCCGATGAAAGGTATGGGTGCACGGTAGAACAACGACGTCATTAGGGTCTGGATTCGAATGGGCCGTCTCTCGCACCCTGTTGCAATCTACAATTGTAGCGCTCCTATCAGGCTCCTTGTGTGGTTTGAGCTGAATGACCAGAGGGAGCTTCTTCTTAGACACCTTCGTTGTTATTCTCTCCATCTCCACACTCCGATGGGACGGGGTCTGTATGGAGGACATAGATTCACATTCGTGCATGCTTGCTTGACAGATTACACACCAAACGCCGTCCTCAGACATCGAGGTACTTGGAATGGGCGTTGGTGTTTGACCTTGACTGGGAGTAACTCTAAACATAGACATGAATTAATTTAATCTAAGTTGATGTGGTTGGGTTCATATCCCACTTTCAGGATGAATGTGAACCATGTCTTCATAAGGTCCATAAGTATAGTAGAGCGGAGAAAAAGTCTAGTTCTCATCTAACCCCGCTTCACTTCGCAAGGCGCCGTCAACAAAACCATTTTGACCCATAACAACTACGGTTGGCTCATCCCGATTCTGCCGAGCCCGTTCTCGTGTACCCTCGCTAACACCTTCTTTCTCATGCTGACCCAACCCATCTTCATCTTCGGCCAGTGGCCGCCCTCCATAGTAGTCTCTATCTTTCCCTTGTAGCATCTCCTTACTAGTCTCCACAGAAGCAGGCATAACGCTTGTCAACGTGCTGCTACCACCACATGCGTTTGCGGGTTGTATTTCTCTGAGCTTTTGTCGAATGTGTGTGAGCTTCTGCTCAATGTCCTGTCTTGTGTTCTGATTGGGAAGATTGATGCGTGGAACAAGCAGCGAATAATCGGGGCCATAGTACTCGTAGAACTGATTTGCTGGTATCTGTTCGGACAGGACCTGGTTACAGACGAGTGATGTCTCATATGTCCAACACTTGGCGGCAGAACGCGCTGTATACCCACCCCCACCTGTTAAGAGAAGCGGTATGCCCTTCGCTTGCGTATACTGATACAGAATCTTAACACACTCCCCGTGACCTTTCAAGGTGACATTGAAGACCCCTAGTCGATCGCCTGCCAGCGAGTCTGCTCCACACTGCAAGACAACTGCTTGTGGATCATAGCAACACATCACATCCTTTACCACGCTTCCAAAGATGTAGATGAATGTGTCATCATCGATGGCGTCTTTCAGCGGAAAATTAATGGCGTACCCTTTCCCTTGGTCAGCTCCATTATCAAACAGATTGCCGGTGCCCGGAAAGAAGTCTGTGTCGTACTTGTGGAATGACAGAGTCAAAACCCGATTTGTGGTATAGAAGGCCTCCTCGACTCCATCTCCGGCATGGATGTCAATATCTACATACAGCACACGCTCGTGTACCTTCAAGAGCTCAAGTATCCCTAAGACAAGATCATTGGCATAACAAAACCCAGAGGCTTCAGAAGCCTTTGCATGGTGGAACCCGCCCATCCAGTTGAGGGCTACATCGCACATCCCATGATTCAAGTGAGCACATGCATTAACAGAAGCACCCACTGTCATGCTACAGTAGTCGTAGAGCCCAGAGAACACGGGGCAGTCTTCGGTAATGTTATATCTCTTGGCAAGGTCCTGGAACTTAGAAAGAGTCTCAGGCGTGATATTTTTCAGAAAGCGTATATAATCAGGGGTGTGGTAAAGAGCCATGTCCTGAAAAGTGGCGTCTCTAGGTGTATAGTAGTTCAAATGCTCATCCAAGCCGTATGCTAAAATAAGCTCATTCACCAAGGCAATCCTGAATGGCTTCATCGGATGATGCAGCCCAAAGTAGAAGGTGGGGAAGAGTGGGTTGTAGAAGAAGGAGGGTTTTGAAGGCGGCATTTTTTAATCCTTCAAATCAATGCAATGTAAAGCCGGTTTAAACACGGAGATGCTATGCATTAGCTCACCAGATGAACTTAGTGCTCAGAGGTAGTAACAACAGACAGCATCTTGGCTAGAACAATGTGCCTATTTTGCTGTGTGTTTATCCACGCCTCAAATGATGCTCCATCCACTTGAAGCCAGTGTAAAAGCTCATCAGGAAAATCAAGGACCTGTCCATCCAAGGAGCTAGCAGATATCTTGGCGGGATTGAATACATACGTTTGATAGTAGTTGTTAGTAAGAAACAAAGTTTGATCTATACCTTCCTCTGCAAACTCATTCAATAAGGTCATGCACAAGACTCCAGATCGCTGGATAGCATTTCGTGATACTTGCAAGGCTAAAATCTGACGAAGAATATCGGATGACTGTGCTGGTAGTTCAACCATTGTTTTAGCGTGCGGTTGGATCCCTGCAAACTTGACAGTGATGGCTGTTTGTAGCATGCAGCTGCTCGAAGATAAAACACCGCGGCTAAGCATGGCTATAGTTGCATCTACTGTTTTCCTCAATACGATGGTAGCTACTCTTTTCTCCAGGCAAGACGCGAAGCAGCGCGATCCTAGTATTCGGCAGAGTGTCAGGGGTGTTTTTTGTATATTGCTGTATTGACAAAGAAGCCCTCCTATAACTGCCTGGGCAGTGTTAGGGTTAAAGTTGCTATATCGTGCAAATACTGTAAGGAACAAATCAATTACCAAATAATCAAGACTGCTGATTTTTGAATTTTGCGCTTGAGAAGACTGTGCTTTGCTTCTATTAACAGAGATATCATTAGAACAGGCACTCTTACCCTTTAAATTTGCCATAAGGTTGGTGATTTTCTCGCATAGCTTACGAGTCCCATCGAGCTTAAGTTCACGGTCTGTCTGGTTTCTGATGAAGTAGTTATTTTCTGTTGATGCTATAACCTGCTGTCTATGTTCTTGTCCGGCAACAAACATAGTTCGCGCCTTTGGTTGCTTGGTCACTAACTTCAGTTGAGTGCTTAATGGAGGGAGTGTCGTACGTGATGTTATCTCTAGGCTTTTATAGTCTATTTTTGTGCTTGTGTTAAAGACTGGCTGCTTATTTTTCGTCAGTGCAGAACTCTTTTTGGAAATAGCTGGGGAAGACGAGGACAGAAGCTGCGGCTTAGATAGTGGGGTTTCAGAAGAGCATTCTGCAGGAGAGGTCTCATCTATTACGCAGCGCAGAAGTGATAGCAAATCTAGGGGATGTAGGGCCTCACAAAAGTGCAAGGAAAAGAGGCCTAAAACGCCACAACATGCTAGTGTCACAATGTGGAACTTGGGGAGCTTATAGAGACCGTCTCGGTATATCAGTCGGAGAAATATGTTTGCCATATAGCGAGATGTCAGGACGCGCTTAGTGATAGAGCGCGGAGATAGCTCCAAGAGATGCCTATTAAAGCTGTTACTATTAACCTGGGCAATGATACATGGCTGCACTAGAATGTCTGCTACTACATCGGCACAGATGTGATTCTGACCCGGGGCTATCGCCATCGCAATGGACTCTGCTACAGTGTCCTGCAAGAAGTAGTCTTGCGCACCTTCTGATGCATATGGAAGGGCTGCTATTCTTTTCATCCAAAGGTCCGCATACTCCATCGTGGAATCCAATAGGATCAAATACTGTAGGCATAACCTATCTGTCGGTACGGAGTTGAAGGGAGTGTTGGCGATGATGACAGACGACGATTTGGACAGATATACTTGCATTTCTTGAAAGTGGCAATTGTATATGTTAAGCGCTTTGTGAAAGAAAACCCCAGTTAAATTCCCCAGGCCATGCAACCCAGAAAAGTTAGAAAGTACTGAATAGACGTTTGAGCATACATGACAAAAGAGGGACTCGCACGTAGATATTAGCATTAAGATGATTGTGCAGGCATCTTCATTTTTAGAGCACTCCTCTTCTGCACTTAAACGCTTAAGAATGGCCTCCAGCAGCATCTGAAGGTATTGGATGCATGTGACAGGACTTATACTATGCGTGCATGTGACTAAAGCGTCGCACGCGCCATGTACAACACTGGACGTGTTTGAATAAAGAAATATCTCTGTGAATTCATCCAGAATTTGACCAGAGAGAGGAGACTCCTCAAAGATGTAAGGCGAGTTGGTGATGACTGATAACGCAGTAAGCTGTGCCATGGGGTCCCGTAAACTCAGAGAACTGATGGCATCTTGGAGCTCTCCGACTGAATAGAATGTGTCAAGCAAGTTTTCTGCTTCCACAGTATACAAAACTTCGTCATCTTCATGCAAGAAATGGACACGTCCCGTGGGGTCCTTGAGCATAGGTAAATTTCAAATTTTAAGAAGACCTTTCACAGCTTGCTCATAATAAACCCCTTGTCTGCTCTCTGCAGTGTCTGCTGGTACTTTATAGATTGTCTGGCTACTTGCTTGTTTACTCGCTGCTTTCTAATAGTCCTTTAATAGACCACCATAAATTAGAGATAATATCTGAATCGATAAGCGCCTGCGATTCAGCCGCATAAAACACCCTCCTCCTGGAGCTACAAATCCAAACCCATCTTCATACGGTTCTAGAACATAGCTTTCCTTTTCTAGTCTTGCGTAGCGGCTAGCACAGAACGGTGATTCGAAAAACTCATTGCTCCAGCACTGACAGAGCCCATCTTCCACCAATTTATCAGCAACAAATAGATCCTCCCGCTCGTCACTTATTGGAAGTCCACAGTATATGCAGACTCTGCCTTCTGTTGAATCGAGAAAGAACTTATTCCGACCCAGACTAAAGTATGCGAGCTTCAGGCGCTGAAAAGCTGTATCTGCTAGTGCTAGAGGACACAGGAGATTAAACGTTGTGGGTTTTATTGTTGTCGATATTGTACTTGTAGTGTTCTTCATCGCAATTCGGACTACATGGGTCTGGAAGCTGCATGCCTCTGTGCTGAAGGTCGTATTCAAAGCCATGGGCTGGCCTCCGTTCAAGTAGCTCTGTATGTTGCGCTTGAGAGAATACGCACGTGCATTGGAAGACTGCTCTGGACAAAGAGCTTCATATATAGCCGCTTCCAGACAGACCAAAATCAAACTGTAGGAAATGGCTGTTGCCTCTGTATAATTACGAATGGATCCTATACTTAGTAGGTTGCCAGTAAGTCTCTCCAAGGTACACGTAAGGCACTGCGACAAGTCTTCCATGTTGGGTGTAATTGCTTGCTCTCCCAACCGCTGAAGCTCCTTGCTGACGTCCACGGCCATCTCCCAGATGATACGCATAGACAAGACGGCCCTTTCGCCTAGTTGCACTAGGCACTCGTTCACGGCTTGTACAAACGGCCTCTTGCCTATCCTTGTATCAAAAATCCAAATATATTGTAGCAAATACAGCAGAACAGCGAATATGCGAGACACGTCTGAGATTACTCTAAGAAACAACTGTGGAAGAGACGGCTCTGCACACATTTCCTGACACTTTGGTAAAAATAATAGAGATTGTAGATTGCAATCTATAAAATGAATAAGAAAAAGAATCATACCTAAAAGAAAGGGATCAGATGATAACACCGCCTTCAACTCATCTGTATTTGGAAAGAATCTCTTGGTACCGTGGTTTGAATGAGCAACATGCAATATTCTGATTAATAGTGGGAAAACAAGCTCTACCAGAATGAAGTTATGCATCTTATAGTTAGAGCTGGACCAGAATATGCTCGGCTGTACAAGAATATCGTGAAATAGAGGTATTCCGGTGATGTATGGAAAGGAGCAAACGGGACAAACTAGCGACTCCGCAACTTCAGACTCATCGTTACGTAGCATACACGACACGTGCTGGATGTGCGCACAAGATGCTGAGAGCAACGAGAAGAGCTCTGTGCTCGACGTTGTAAAAACAGATATGATGATTCCTGCGTGCTCCTCCTCTGCTAACTGCTCAACGTACGGTATTAGAATAGAGTCAGCAGTAATGTCTAGCAAGTATGTATAGCCTGTGCTGTGATGGGAAATATGTGAGCTGGTGTTTCCTGTGTGAGGATTAAGATCAAATACTGATAGTTCTGGCCAAACACGTGGAGGGTAGTGGGAGACTGTCTCTCCCAACTGGCAGGCATGCTTGCGGAACGCTATGTACAAAAAATTGCTCCTAATGATTTGTAATGGTACGGCTTGTAATTGGTTGAGCAGCTGCACATCAAGCTCTGACAAAGCACAGAGCTGCGTTTTATAAACCAGTGATCTATTAATGGTCAGGGACTCCAAGCAAATGCAACAGATAGCGGCATCTACCCCGGTATTCTGGTGCTCCTTCTTTCCCGAGGAAGATGCGTGTATCATGTGGTGATCTGCCATAAGCTTTCTTAGTGTGCGCGTCAATTTGACCTTAATAGCTTGCGGGGATTTTCGTTTGGTTACTCTTTCTGTGAATTTCGTAGCTGAATCAGAAGCCTGGACATAGAGCATCGAGGAGTATTCTATACTATTCTCCCTGAAGCTTTCCTCAAGATACTCTACAAGAGTCCTTGCCATCGGGTCAAACAGGAGGCGTCCTGCGCTAGATGCTATACGTCCGTGAGCGTAGCTAAGCATCTGGATGATGTTTGCAGTTGGGACAAGGAATCGGGTCGTTATGCACCTTTTAGATATGCAAATCAGAAGACGAAGAAGATGCAAAAAGCAACAGTGCCGTAAATATCCTGCACCATACAAATCAATGCAGGCAAATAATAAGTCAGCAAAATACTTACTGCCAGCAAAACAGCTAAGCAGATCTTCGTTACACTGTAGACTTACCAACACTGGAAGTATGCGTAGCTCTCGGAGAGCCTCAGAATCCATAAACGCAGAGTGCACCCTATCGAGCTCCAGCGGGGCCAATAGAGGCTCCAGGACACGCCAGCCATTAGTTGTTAGCCTTACTTCTGCAGAGAAGTCCGTGTCATGTGTCTTGGGACTACAGACTAGCTTCACGGCTTCTAGGATGATCGATGTGTCTGAGAACTGTCCAGAAAACTCCACAATTAAAGATGAAGGTGACGTGGTGCGATTTAGCGCTACATAAACGGCAACAAGGCTCTGAATATAGGTATTTCCTACGGTCAAGTACGGGTTATGAGTCACGAAAATAAGTTGAAGCAACAGTATGAGGGCCCCCTCATACAGAGACGAAAAAAGTGCAGCGGGTTCTGGATGAAGAGCGTGCGCATTACCAAGTTCTCCACCTACAATCGGAGGTATGAGCTCAGCCGTTTGTGTCATAAATCTTCGTCTGTCGAGTTCAATGGTCAATAGCGGCAGGTATGACTGGTTAAAGATACTGGAAGACTGAATATATAGGTTATTGGAACCCCGAGATATCAGTCCAAACGACACTAAAATACCTAGCAAACAACAATTAACAGGGTTGTAAAAACTAGAAAGACTATTGTCAAGAGAACCGTATCTGGCTTTAGAAACCATGATGAAGATAAGGAGTTGGAGTAGCGAGATATGCTTGTGCCAGATATGTATCTGCTTAGGCCTGTGACAACTGATAAAGAGGGTAGCAACCATTGTAACGTCTTCGCCGTTGCGTGCATATGCCCCGAACGCCATTCTATAGACGAGAGAGATACCAATAAGAGTACTAAGTATTTCTAAAAACATTACTGAGGCAATCCGTTCGGATTGACAATCCTTAGTACACGAGGTATCATCGCAATGATATGGCATCCTAAACAATGTATCAGCTTGATTTTTAACAATGTCAAAAACTTCATCAGAGGCAAGTATAGGCGGTGGAAGAAGCTCGTCTGCAAACTGCCACGAGAAGCAATCAGTCCGAAGAAGAAGTCGCTCATGCATAGTTTTAGCAAAGGACCATGTAGTGGCTGCCGATGAGCTAGCCAAGTATTTAGTAAGACATGCATGTAGGAGAGAGGAGTACAACGGCAGAGAGGGAAACCGAAGCCCAGACAGTGCATATCCATCTTCAGAAACGCCACTCCACGTCTTCAACCTATTAACAAATAGTGGATCCAAGGCCAATCCTGTCGCCTGTGCAGCTATAAAGATGGTTCTATAGTTAGCAGAATACTCATAGGCGTTGTGAACTGCTGCTAGAAAAATTGCTGGATACGTATACCCTGCGCACCCACGTGCAACCTTCAGTTCGTGATTGTACACATAGGCGCAGAGATTGGTGCGACCATGAAGAGTCTGGTTAAGTAAGAGTCGGAGAGTAGTGTCCATCAGCTCTATTATATTACCTGAACGGGCCATAAATACCGCGTGGACAGCGCTTAAAGTGGGATGAAACAGTGCTCGTTCATTATCAACCATTAAGGCCAAGCTTCGTCCAGACAGGTCTGCAGCAGATGCGTGCTCTCCAGAGACCTTTCTGTGTACAAAGGTGAGTTTGTTACCGACAAGCCTTAGCAACTCTACATACAAGAGAACCGAATCTATGACATCATGGTTCACGGAGTCATAAAAGGTACTGTTCTCCAGAGGAAGAAGAGCTGCCGAAACCCGAATAGCCCTGGCAAGTTGAGAAACCATATACGTATTGACGGGAAGGTACCTCCCCTCGTGGACCAAGAAGAACAGTTGCTCCAAAACTGTCACTCTCTGCGGTGCATCACCGCATGCAGCTTGTAAATATTGCTGAGATAGTGAATCAGTGGAAAATAGACAAAGATAATTAGAAAAGGAATGCAAGAGCGCCGAGTTTCTCTTTTCTGGACCTCCAAAAATAAGGACAATCCATCTAACAAGAAGGGATTGGACAAGCTGCATATGTGCCAGATCTAGATTAGTAAAGCGTTTCATAGCTCTGCATCCCAGCTTATATGTCGCTATCAGGTACATCAGGCTTTCGCATGGTTCACGTGTAAGTGTATAGAATAAATCAGAAAAATAATCAGATTGAAGGGCCGAGCAAAAGGCATCATCAAACAATAGCGCTCTGCATACTCTCAAATCGCTTGTAGTGAAGACCAGAGGAAGGACAATAAAGGGCCAGAGCTTGAAAATAAAGCATGGAAAGCTGGTACTATCAGACGCTAGCATAGAGTACAGTGCATGAAGATCAGTGCTAGCGCCAGCACTTGCTGGGCCTAGTGGCAAGCAACCACTGTGTGTGTATAGGACATAGAACTCTAGGAATGAATAGCCCCTCTTAATAGCTTCATGCAGTTGTCCAACTGAACTAGTACCGTGATCAATCAGCTGAAAAAAGCCCTCTAGTGAGCGTACTATCGTGCATACCAATAGTGCATATGTTTTGTTAAGAGCACACTGCGTAACAGGTATTGAAGTCTGTGGAGATGAGTATTCAAGAAGACCCGGGAGAGTCGGTTTAGTACAACAAACTTGCGCTACAAGTGCGTGGTAAATAGGATATTTCAGTATAAAATTCAAGACTTCCTGGGCATTGTTCGACAAGTGTGCCTGATAAAGAAGTACTTCAGTTGCAAATACCAGTCTTGTGTAAAGATCGCGGGGGATCCGCGCGTGTAGAAAGGCCTCTGGATCATCTGGACGTAGGGTCACTGCGTTCATCTGCTCGTGAGCGTGACAGAGTATGCCATTGGCGCAGGAAATGACAGAATAGGGGATTAAAAACCAGACGTGATCTTCGTGCTGACCCTGCGTAAAGCAATCCAGGCATAATTCTAATTGGTTGTCAGAGTGGCATGTTAGACATACAATTCGTGGTCCTGGCGGAGCCAAACAAAAGTTGAGATGGGCCAGATCCGGTGGAAGAGCTAGTAAATTTGATTCAATATCATGGCTTACTGAATCAACTACCTTTCTACTGAAGTTTATCGGTACTGAAATCAAACGATCACGAAGAAACATGACACATCAAGGAGGAAGAGCCTGCGCTATAAGATTCTTTTAAATTTAGTGGACCGAAATAGAAATTCATACACTGTACTTCTGTATACGACTCACATGATCAGAATGTCTAACTATTTGTTCGCCAGTGAACTCTTTCTCCTTACAGTTTGACGCCATTACTTTTTTAATTCGTACTCTCAGTAACCTGTACAAAAAGAAAGAATCGCCTACTGGCACTTTCTGGACAACTGTGCGGTGAGTATTCGCAGTGAATATCTATCCTCTTGACATTTTAAATAAATCTTTCAAAAAATTTTAAATTTCACAGCTCTTGTCACAGTACTCTCTCACAGGATGAGGCACAACGAGGTTTTCCTGACCCAGCTGGACAACGGCGTAGTCTCAAAAGTTCCCGGCAGTTTTTCCCGTTTTTGGCATGAACTGGTGGATGACTTTCCACCGTTTACTAAGATCGTAACGGCCAAAGAGTCCAGTTTTTCTTGTAGTGTAATTACCACAAGCCATCGCTTAATCATTACGCAGCTTCTCCAGCCAGGCTTGGCAGCTTCCATTGTTAATGAAGATAGCCAGGTTCAGTTACCGATTTGCGCGTCTATTCCCTTCTCCCACTTTAGCTCTATCCTTTCAACAGGCGTTAGTACCACTGGGGTGACTGTCACATTCAATTTTTATTATCCACTGCAGCTTAATCTATTCATCCCCGTCGGCCAGAATCCCCAGGCAATAGTTGATCAAACGGTTAAGCACTGGTGCATACAAGCCCGTGGAGTCTTTCTCCGTCCTATGTCTGTTCCTCTTATTAATGCAGCAAAGGATCTAAAAGGACTTGGACGGTGTGCAGACATACCAACATTTTGTGATAACCGCCCTACGTTTCTTCGCTCGACTGGCGATGATACACTCAGCACCGCCAATGATCGCTGGACACATTATAGTATATCACGTACAATATTGGCTATGCAAAAGGGCGGTGATGTATTGCGTGCTAAGTTAGTGCTGGGCCCAGATCAGAACCCTGAGACACTGAAGGAACCCCTCACTGTCCAGAGGTATCTGAACATTAAGGCACACTACAACGCTGTACTTGATTTAGGTAGTAGCCCTGTCTACGCTGAGGCTTCCATAGATAGCCTCCTAGGTGGTGAGGCAGGTGCTCTCAAGGAACTTCTTGAATATGAACCTGAAAATGGCCAAGATGGCACCGCAGAGTTTACACGAACTCAGCTCCACATTTGTATCAATAAGAACTACCAGGTCTGCGAAACATATCCATACCTTCTCTTTCTGCCGAATCAAGCCATCATTAGACCAAACACATTCGTCGATAATCGTTTTCTCTGCGTTGCCGGATTCATTGATGGACTTCCCATATTCCGCTCCGGAAACCCTATTCTTGGGATTGGTGCTAATCCCATTGCGGATTTTCTGGACTTCTACATGCCTTCTACGTGCTATAAGCGCGCCATTGTTTTTAGTCTAGGACCAACGACCTACTATGACATTCAGAAGCCAGTTAGCACCATGCCACCTAACTCAAATGGTACCTTCATAGATTACGCTAATTACTTGCGTGTGTTGCAGACCAAGCTTCCGTTCCTTGAAGAACTGGCCATGGCATTTAATACTATGTGGTCTCTGAACTTGGTACAGCCGACGCAATTTTTCTCTAGCGAGCTTCCAGCGAACTGGAATCTTCAGCAAAAGGGGGATACAGATCTCTATAGTGTAGCTGCAGATCTGTTCGACACATTTCACATCAAAACGATTAAGGAGGATAACGATTTCCAGTACACTGTTCGCGTGGAGGAATCTGGCTGGCTGGATTACATAATCTCATTTGTTGCTACAGCAAGGTTATTGGTTGAACTTCTTCGAGATGACAACAGTCAGAACATGATCATTTTGTCAGGAGACCTGGAGGTGTTCTGGGCTCCTGTAATACTGATCCTTTCTACGATAATAGCGAAGAAGCAGTACAGGACTATCAGGGGTCTTTTAGAATTGATGCGTTACTATCTTCCATCTTTTGGCTTGCCACTTGCATCATGTATGAATTTCGAGGGCTCTCAAATAGAGGCTAAGGCGCCAGTTCAGGAGCAACACTACAGGCTCATCACGCAACGTGCTGGTCACGTACCAGTTATCCCGCTGCTAATAGATTGTATCTCTCTTTTAGTGCATTACTCACGGCCTGCGTTTGGCTTTGGAGAAGGCTTTTTAATGCATCTTTCGGCTATTATTTATTCCAATCTCTACGGAGACTTTCTCTTTGATAGTGAAGCTGAGCGCTACTTCCTTGCCATTCCAGAGCTTACTGATTCTCTTTATTCACAGGAGGCCATAGAGCTTCTTTCTAAAAGGTTTGAAACACCGATTGTTGTCGATTCTCTTGAGCTGAGCTCTTGGCCAACGATCAGCAAGTTCTGGTCACTTGGGCTAGACTTTTCTTGAGTAGCCACCAGTCCACTTACGCTGCTGCTTGTGTGCTGCCCATATTCTGTAAATGCATGAACTGTTCAAAGAGCCGTTTGTTTACTCACTCGTGGCTACCGTTTAGGTCAAGGCGGGGTGAGGCAGTACTCTCCGCAGTCCGGATCAGTAAAGCACTGGGCACAGTTGGTTGGTGGCAAGGTTCCACAGTTCTCACAGTCGACATCTCCGCACTTGAAGACGAACTGCACTCCAGTCGCATCGGGGCATGTGAGGTCAGGGTTGCAGTTGAGATAGAGCTCCATAAGGTAGGGGAGCGTCATAAGGCCAACAGGGACCGTGCCTGACAGCTGATTGCAGTCTAGGTGGAGCTCCTTGAGAAATTGAAGCTCATTGATGCAGGTGGGGATGGAGCCTGTGAGAGCGTTGTCACTCATGTACCAGAACATTAGGTGAATGAGGTCGCACATGCACTCGGGAATATCGCCTGTCAGACCGGCACTATTGACCTGCAAGTACTGGAGGTTCGTCAATTGGCACAGACCCTCTGGGATGGCACCAGCCAATGAGTTGTTGCTCAAGTAAAGGGTCTTGAGGTAAGTAAGGCAGCCGATGTTCTCCGGGATGGTACCTGTAAGGCCCATGTCCGAAAGATCCAGGGCGATAACGTAGTTATTCGAGGCCTCACACGTAACACCTGTCCAGGTGCAAATAGAGTCTCCCGAAAGCCAATTATTGGTCTTCCAATTTGCTCCGTCAGTGGCATCGTAGATTTCGACGAGCACCTCCCTCTGAGTAGCCGGGCAAGTGAGGGCAAGGGCAGAACCTGCAAGAGCAAGGAGAGCGAGCATCATCCCTGATATTTTATTTCTGTGTTTCTTGATCTGAGAGTTGTAAACTGTAGATTGTATACTGTAAATTGTAGACTGTAGACTGTTAGCCAGAAAAAATGCAGACAGCCCATGCGTGGCTAGAACAAGAGAATGATTTAGTAAGCCGTTGTCATGAAGCGTATTTCATGACAAAGTCCAATGCCTCTGGAGACCCGAGGTCCTTCGCCACATCGACCCATGTCCTTGAATCGCCAGAAGAGAGAACTACTGTCTTTTGACATTCTACTGGGGAATTAGTGAGTATATACTCTGCTGTCGAGTATGCCTTTTGCTCAATTGCCAGCAGAAGAGCGGTATACCCTGCTCCTTTAGAGTGTAAATTGTTTGTTTGGAGACCCTCTTCTAACGGCAAAAGCAAGCGAACACAGTCAAGAGAATTAGAATGTGCCGCGCACATAAGGGCGGTAGTTCCATCAGCCTTCTGCAGCTTCGCTTCTCCCGGTGCTAAGAGCTTGCAGATATCTGCATAGCCTTTGTGTGCAGCGCACATCAAGGCGGTCTGGCCCTCAGTCGTCTGCATCTTTATTTCTGCTGGCTGAAGGCTTCTAACTATATCTAGAAAGCCTTTATTAGCAGCCACCATAAGAGAAGTTTCACCGGTGTCGTCAGCAATCCCAGCCTCGAAAGATACGAGACTCTCCACAATGTCTGGATAACCAAAGTTGGAAGCTATCTTAAGAGCGGTCCATCCATCCTCGTCAGCAAGCCCGTGCTCGAAATGTATGAGGACATCAACAACGTTCTTTCTTTGTGCTTGAGCAGCAATCATAAGCGCAGTTTGGCCATCACGACGAACACACTTTGCTTCATACGGTGCCAACGCTGTAACGGCAGAAATAAAGCCTCGCCTGGCTACCTGCATCAATGCAGTTTCTCCTTCGAAGATTCTAGGGGCCTTCAGAGCCATCGTCGCTTCCTTTGGAGCAAGCAAGCGAACAATATCTAACATCTCTTGTTCAGCGGCTACCATAAGGGCTGTGCGGCCGTCCAGTGTTGCACGTCCAGCATGCGTGGGGATGAGCTGCATAATCTTTTCTATATCCTTGCGTTCTACGGCCAATATCAAGGAGTTGGCCTTGTCTGGGTTGAGTTCGGAGATTGATAGTGTGTTATCGTCGTAGGGGTTCGCTTTAGAGAGAGCAGACGCGCCTTTATTAGCAGAGCCTGGGGCCTTTGGTGGTGTAGTGCCTTGTATTCCAGTATCTGGGAGAGTTAGCTTTAATGGATTGCTAGGGGCCATGGGGACGAGTAGGTGATTGTCATCCGGTACTTGTGCCTCTTCAACGTTGTCTGTTCTATCTCGGAGCTTATAAGCTGTTGGGCCATTACTTTTCGGCTCGCAGTTCGCCGCCAAGAGAGAGGATGGAGTGGCAAGATCCATAATATCCATTAGAACATCTGGAGACATACGGGCCTCGGGCGTATCGCAAAGGCGTTCTATCGTTTTCATTCTAGAAATGAAAGGGTTGGAGGACGGAGATGGCATAGAGAGAAAGGTCTCTGGAGGGGTTTTATTCATCATGTAGAGCATGTCTACGACTTGGCGCATCTCAAACAAATCACTCAGAAGAGGCCTGTTAGTCGGGTTGACGTTCAGCATGTAATAGATTGTGCAGCGAAGTATATCTGTATAGTCCTGAGGTATTGGACGGCGCTCTGCTGCCACACTCTGCAGGAGCCCGGCAACATCCTTCTTATCCATGTGGGATGGTGCTATGAACAGCGGCTTGAAGGTACAAAGTTCGTAGAGTAATGCCCCCAAAGACCAGATATCCGATGCTGCGGTATACTCGCCAGTTAGAAACCACTCTGGAGCAGTGTAAATGGCTTGCTGCGCGTTTTCTTTAATATCTTCTGCAGGGCCATAATGAAACAGTATATAATCGTGGGCAGAAATAGGCTCAACAGACGGCTGACAGATAAATTTGTTGGGACTGAAGACGGAAAGAAGGTAGTTCCCATCTCTAGTCACAGAGATTGAGGATGGACGAATGTCCATATGAACAGGCGGGCTATCGTTCTTAAGGCGCTGATTTTCAACTGGATCATGTATTGACGCCAGTGCATAAAGGAGCTGCGCAAAGATGTACCATATTTTGGCCTCAGATATATGCTCTCCTTGCGCTCGTGCGCTTGATATGAGATTGAGCAGCGTCTCAGTACTCGGTCTATCGGTAATGACGTATGATGAGGAAGACCCATTGTGACGTTGAACCGAAAAGCACTTAGTAATGTATGGATTGGTAACAAATGGAAGATGTCGTATTGAGAGCTCCATGTCGACAAGCTCCATTGTCTTAAGCTTATCGCGCTTGATGCGATATATGTAGACGGGGTGGCTATCATGAGCGCGCACGGCCTCATATACGTCAAGTGCATGATATTCTCTCATAAGTCTTCCTAGCAAGTAGCCATGCGGCGTGTACTTCGTGCATTCTGTGTCCATTTTGTTTCTTTTCAGTTTTTCCCAGACGTTTCCCTTTATGATCGGCTCATCTAGTGAAGGTTTAACGATTAAATGACTCCCAGCACATGCTCATATACCAGCTCACTACCCTGCCTCAACTGCATCCGTTGCGTATTAGGTTTCCATCAGTAAGGCAAAAATTTATCTATAAAATTCCAGTCTCATTCCTGGAACATCAATGCTTGATGCAGGGTCTGTAGACAGCTCAGTCATCCACAGCACCACCGGATTTAGTTTTAGTTCGACTGGGTCTCTTACGTACACTCCAAACGGAAATATCATATCTGTGTCACCTTTTGGACTTATCCGGCACACTTTGACAGCGACTGGGGCAAAGATTGACAAAATTTGTCATCTCGGAGAATACGACCAAGTGGTGACGGCCATTCGCGCCCATCCACGGGAAAGCATTGTGGCAGCGGCGGTTTACGGATCCACACAGGGCTCTATTGCGATAGTCAACACAGATACCATGGCGCACACTTATGACATCCCGTGGCCTTCTATTTTTGGCGAGCCGTCGGGACTCTGCTTCTCCCATGATGCAAGCTTCTTGGCAGTCACCACTAGATTCCCGGGAGCTGTGTATTTTATAATGATGGAGATGGACGCACACGTTATTGTTGCTTCCGTTGAAGGATTTCTCCCAGACGGAGTGCCCTTTGCGCCCCAATACTTTCTTGCAGATCCGACAAGCCTCCTATCTGACGAACCTTCGTTCATTGTGGAGGCAGGAATGGCATGCATTCATTTATCCCTGCGGAAGAAATTCAACTATGATAAGGGGGATCTCTCGCGGCTGTCCTCCAGCTATACATGCACTGCCCAATATGTCCTGAACATGACTGGAGCAACGTCTGTCGACTTTGCGCCTTTCTACACTAATAATTATCTTGTTGGAGGATTCCCAGACTCTTCTATTGCCCTCTGCGCCCTGCTAAGGCATCCAGACATACCCCACCGCAGTACTCTGACCAATAATACGTTCACTAAATATCTCCCAACTACTGTGTCCGGTGTAACCGCACGCTCGGGGCAAACATTTGAGAATATGACTCTTGTCGAGTGTCTTGCGGCAGATACTTATGTTACATTTAAAGAAATAAATAGGCGAATCAACATTCCACTCATACTTCCTAAGAACGTTCCCACTCCCCGGTTTGGGGTGAGCTCTATACGGGGAATCGTAGGGGGAACTATCTATGTGCTCATGAAGTCAGGAATGTTCTGCTCATTCTATATATCCAGCACCGAGAAGAGAAGTGCTGAGCTGGATGATCTAAGTAGCGAGGAAAGCGATACGGAGGGTCAGGGGCCTGATGATGTTAAGAGCACAGCCAAGAAACGTGATGTTCGCTTTGATGCCATGGACAGGCCGGTAGAAGTCAAGAAGCCGCCACAGCTAGAAGGACACACCATCGAACTGCAGACAGCCATGAAAACCGGCTATATGAGTGTAGCTCTTAACTTTTCTGCTTGTGTTCTCTTGAATGCGGACCTTGTCCTGTGTGACTCTGGAAAGAACGGCTCAGTGACTTCTATCTTTTCCAGGGCATCGTCAATAGTCGATGAGATAACATCTTGGAGTGAGACTAGGTCGAATATCACGCTTTGTTCCATGACTGTGGATCGTACGGATCTCACGACTATTGCATGTGTGGTGTATGACCCCGCCACAGGGTCTGCCTACCCCGTCTATATGAATCTTCCCCAGGTTAATAATAGGACTGCCCTTCAGTGTGTCATGCGCCCAATATGTGCGCCTTTCATTTCTCTCTTTGGCTATGTTCACATTAACACTATTTCTGGAGCAGTCCCCTATCTCCGTCAAGTGTCTCAGACTTTTTCGTTTATGAGCAAACAAGCATCACTGATTGGTTCTGATACTCTCGCCTCCTCTACGCGATCTCAGCCATTGCTTGACCCACTGGATAGCACATCTACTGTAGATGATCCAGTTACTGGCTTTGAGACAGATAGCCTTGTCGCACTGTTCGGGCATTCTAGTCTGGCGCCATTCATTTCTAGTGCTGGCAGGCTATCCACCCGAATAACACTAGTCGACTCTAGCTGTGCCTTCAGCACAAGGAGATTTGTTGTCGCTACAAGTGATGGCACTGTTAGACTTTATGAGTATGATGATCAGTGTATTTCGGTAGTTGCAGCAGTGAGAATTATAGATACCATTACCTCAATTTCTTGCCATCCCATGGGAAATATTGTTGCGGTAGCGTGCACAGACAGCGTACGTCTCTTAATTACTAACTCAGACTCTTTGGTGCTAGAGTACGAGATTCCAATTAAGCTATCAACGTATGTGCGCTTTAATACATCAGGCGGGATCCTTTCTGTACTCAAAGGGAACGTTGTGTCTTTGTATGACACCTGGACCAAGCACTGTATCGGGACTCTCGAGGGTCACAATGACATGATTGTGGACATATGCCGTCTACCAAACAAGCTCTACAAGGATGTCTTCTTTGTGACAGCGGCGAAGGACGGCATGCTTTATCTTTGGAGCCAGGCTGGGGTACGCATATCTGAGATAATAGGCAGAATTCGCTTTACGTCTCTTTCTCCGTACACTGCACCTATACCTGAGTTTGGCAAATACCCCCCTGTTTTAACATGCGGAAATGGCTGCATTCATCTCTGCGACTTTAATTCTAATTTGGTGTTATTTACAGGTTATTATGAAGAAGAAATAGACCAAAATGTGGTATGTCTGCGGCATATACTCTATGACGACTACAGAGACATAGTGTATGCCTCAGACATCGATGGCCGTATTCATTCGCTTTTGTTTCCAGACAGCCTCAAGGACAAGTGTCTTCGCATAATAGAGAATAGCAAGACGGGGATGGTCGGGGTAGACTTGCAGCCAGAGCCGACACCCCTCCGTCAAGCAGAAATGAAACTCCCATATGTCCGATTTTCCACGTCTATGAGTATTGTGGAAACCAATCTGCAGGCGACCTTTGGTGCAGGTCTCATGAGCACATACCGCTCGGGCATCACCTCAACGGATCGTCAGCTAACAGCATCCTCTACGACCAAGCGGAAGACTCCCGTGTCTGTTCCAACGTCTTCAGAGACACAGAGGCAGATAGAACAGCCTTCTGATGCATCGGACATAGATCTGCCCGAGGTAGCTGGGCCACAGAAGCATCTCATTGGAAAGATATCTCGATCTTTTGAAGAAATACAAAAGACAAAGTCTCCCTTGGTTGTAAGGCTTGCTCTTTCTCCAGATCACAAATATCTTCTTGTCACTAGCACTAATCAAAATGGCTGTTTCACACTTGTCCTTCTTCCAGGCCCATACAAGCCATGCATCCACAGAAAGTTTAGGGAGCTTGCCAGCGACATCGGTGTCTTCAAGAATGAGGAGGCTGGTTTCATTGACACAGATATTTTGGTTGACGAATCCTATCTGTATGTCTTGCGCAGAATTCTTCTTACACTACTCGATCGCACAAAAGAGGCCGAGCTAGAGTTTGAGCACACAGTTCGGATAGTCATCCAACGGCATGAAAAGGCGGCAGAGGCCGAAAAGTCTCTAGCTGCTCAGGAACTGGAGAGCGCAAAGCAGCGAACAGACCTATTAGTGAACAACGCCGAGCGAGAGGCAGAGCAATATGAGGCAGAGCTGCATTCACTGGATCGAATGCACTCTGCAGCCCTAGAGAAATTGGAAGCACAGTATCGTATTAAGGTGCAAGCCAGTCATGAAAAGCATGAGAAACTCAAGCTGGATCTTGAAGCGTCCCAGACCTACTTAAATGATACGCTCGCTGAGCTCATGAAGCAGCGTGACAGTCGTATGGAATCAACTTTTACAGCATACAATAGGGAAGAGGAAATGATCAAGAAGAAATTGTCTAAACTCGATTCTGATCGCGCACAGCTACGCAAGGAGTACCAGGAGCTGCTAAGACAGAGTGACGAAGATGCAGACGTCCAGCTGCAGGAACTTCAGTCTCGCTACAATGCCCAGCTAGAAGAGCTCCAAACACGCACTAACAGCATTGCCGCAGAAACAGGAATGATAAAGAATAAGTTCCAGACAATTGAAAAATCAATCCTAACCTATCAAGGAAGCGTTGCTACGTGCGAGAATACCCTTCACAACTTACAACAAACAAGTAACAGCCTCAAGGCAGAAATACAACTTGCTCGGGCGGAGGCAGAGGCTCGAAATGAGGCCATCGTGTCCCGGGAGCGGCTTATCTACTCCTTAAAGAAGGAGGCTAAAGATCTTGAAAAGCATCGCTTTGTCTTAGACTTCAAAATTAAGGAGCTACGTAAGTGCATAGAGCCACGAGAGACAGAGATAAGCGACCTCAAAGAGCAGATAAGGGAGCTGAGCAACGAGCTGGAGAATTTCCACAAGGCTGCTGCTATATTGGAGAATGTTATCCAGGGACATAAGGATGAAAGCGCCGAGCTGAAGAATAACCTTCTTCGTCTCAAGTCGGATAACCAACTTCTTCGCAATAAGCTTATGCATTTGGAGCATGATGTACATGACTTGGCTGACGTGCACGGTAGCATACCACTTGCCACTCTCAAGGAGAAGTGTCGGACGCTGTTCGATCAGTATGGTGGCTTCAACATCATAGATGCAGACGCAGCTTCGGCCGCCAACGAGAAGGAGCGTCACCAACAGTACCTTGTCAAGGCAATCAATATGCTCACCCGTGAACTCCAGAATTCCAAGGATGCAACAGTGACGGAGAACGCTAGGATAGTGGAAGAGAATGCAGAGCTGCTCAAAGAGGCTGCCGTGTTGCGGCGAGAGATACAGAAGATTTTGCACGGTCCCATCACCCAACAAAACACGGAGAACAGCAAGGTTTTTGCTGCACGCCTCACTGCTCAGGAAGCAGAGATCAAGCGGCTCAAGAAGCGCATCGTTGAGCTTCAGAACGCCGATGATTAAAAATTTATTCAGCTTACAATCTGCAATCTGTATTTTTATGATGTTATGAACTATATCTCTGTTACAAATTGCTTTAGTGTAAATACCTTATGATGTTTATTTTAAGTTTCAAAATTTAATTTCTAAATCACAAGCCGATGGAGCACCGTCGTCTACCTCCCCAGTTCTCTTACGTTCAGCTTCTCGGGGAGACGGGCTTTGGGGCTAGTATTCTTGCCCAGCGCAGGGACACCGGAGTTGGGGTCGCTGTAAAGGACGTTAACACGCAAACGCTCACCGAACTTGGCCGCGTAAAGCTCGAGCAGAACATTGAGCGCATTCGTTCTCTTCATCATCCCAACGTCAATCCCTATTACGAGACGTACACCACAGAGACCGACCACTTTTACATAACCTCTGACTATCTGCCCCAGGGGAGTCTTCGTGATGAGATTGCCGCGCGTAAATATGACAATTCACCGTTTCCGGAAGAACGTATCTGGGCTATTATCTCACAGATCCTCCAATCCCTCGCATATCTTCACGCTCGCATGAAAGCAAACGCTCCTGACGCGGGTTGCATCATTCATGGGAATTTGAAGCCAAGCAATATACTATTGTGTGATGATGGTCCTCTGCGCGTGACTGATTACGCCATTCGTCCGTCTTCCTCAAATAGGGTCTTCTCTACCACGACAAACGATTACACCGTTTGCTATAAGGCTCCAGAGGTGCTGATGCACAAACCATGTGACGAAAAGCAGGATATCTGGTCTCTGGGATGCATTCTCCTCGAGATGTGCTCTCTCTCATATCCGGCGTTGATTAAGTCGGGGGTTCCCCTCGAGGATAATTTTCGCGAGGAGCCTGATTGCATTATTCCACAGAAGTACAGTAATACTATTCGTATTTTCTTAGACCATACTCTTGTTCTAGATCCGTCTAAGAGATTGTCTGCTGCTGAGCTGCTAATGTTCCCGATAATAACGGAAAGCCTGCAAAAGTTATCATTCAAATATGCACCAGAGGATGATCTGCGGCGTAGCTCTAATATTTTTGTCTACAAGGAGTCTGAGCAGCGTCAGACAGAGATGGTTGAATCTCTCCCTATGGTTCCTGTGGCTCCTCTTGACGATAACTACGTAGGAACTCCCTTCCTAGGCCGAGCACCGCCTCCTCTTGTAGCTACCACCAAGGAGTATGTACTGGCTGAAAATAGTACTCTACTGCACGTCTCTGCCTCAAAAGGTGATGTAGATGGAATTAGAACATATATAAGCATGGCAAGAGCTAAGAATGATGACGGGCTCACGGCTCTAATGGTGGCAGCCCAATTCAATCAGCCCGAAAGCTGTCGTGAGTTGCTGAACTATGAGTGCTATCTTCGGGATGACTATGCAACTACGGCTCTTATGATTGCAGCTACAGAGGGACACATAGACTGTGTTCGTGTGTTGATGACTCGAGAAGCCGGGTTTATGCGCCCTGACAGAGCCTGTGCATATAGCCTCGCCATGGCTAAAGGGCACATACATGTCGCTAACTTGCTAAAGCCTATCGAGGACGTCTGGCGTGACGATAAGGGAAACACGGCTCTAATTCTTGCGGCAATGGCCGGTAACTTAAAACAAGTTACTGATAACCTCGACAAGGTTCGATTCACTAATGCGCAAGGGAAAACCGCGCTGATGTACGCATCAGAAGGTAATCACGTTGACATAGTGAAAATCCTTACTCCAGATGAATCTGGAATACATAAACTTGGGACAAATAACTGCATCGGTGCAACAGCCTTGATGCTAGCATCCAGTGCGGGTCATACACACGTAGCAGAAATACTTGCTCATTACGAGGCTGGAAAGGTGAAGCACAATGGCTGGACAGCTCTGATGTTTGCAGCCCAGAACGGCCATGACGAAATTATACCCTATCTCATAGATAAGGAGGCACGTAGGCAGCTTGTGGATGGGTGGACAGCCCTTATGTTTTCTGCAAAAGGAAACTTTATCAAGTGTATGGACAGACTCATTGAATTTGAAGCAGGGCTCACAATGAATCAAGGGATGACTGCTTTGATTTTTGCTATTGAAAAGGGGAACGAAGAGGCTATTAAGAAGCTCATTCCATATGAGGGCAAGATTCTTGTCGGAAATGGCCACAAGCCCTCTGAGTATGCTAAGACACTCCACATAAGGAATTTGCTACCTCTGTAGAGCGATAACATGGCGCTGCTTTCTTTTATCTTCTACCGCCGTGTTCTATACTGATTTGGTAGGTAGTAAACATTAAAAAGGCATATTCTAGCTCTTGCATCAGTTGTCAATACTCTTCCCCGTTATCATAAATCTGAGATACCTATAGGCAGACCTTTTCTCAGCTTTAGACTCAGCTATCTTTTGGTGGATTTCGGCCCAGTCGGTGGCAGACAAGGAACTGGAATTGGTCTTGCTTGTCATTGCGTGAAACATTTCTAACCGTCCCAGAAAGGTGTGCTCATAAATCTGTTCTATTGAAAAGAACACGGTCCCAATGGCTGTGGGTATCTCTGCAATCAGCAAGGCATTTTCAATACTTGAATTATCTTGGTTCATGAGCCCTATAATAAGCACAAAAGCTAACCCGAAGACTAGCCGGGTTAGACAAACAACTGTGTTCAATATATATGTCTCTCGAAGAGTCTGGACAACGAGGACCATGTCAAGGCCCACTAGTATCACTCCAGCAATCGCAGCCTTATGCACTGCTGCATCACAATAATTAAGAAGCAATGCCTGTCTTGTCTCGGTTAAGGTTGCAAACGAATCGGCCACGTTAGCAGGAAGTAACAGTCGCATAAGAAATGGGGACAAAGCAAGGAAAATAAATCCTAATAGAAGTCCAATAGAGTAGACGAGAATAGTCAATCTGACTAGAACTGTCCCTGCACACTGATAAAATCTATGAAAGTAATAGGTCTGCATCGAAGTATAGTAAGAAGTAGCAAAGGACCTCGATGATATCATAAAGATGTGCCGAAAAAGATAGAATACAAGCAGAGAAATCCTTTTCGTGATCGATTCATCAGAGTTTGTGTAGTACTTTGCCACAAGAGTATTGGTCGCTAAAAGCATAAGTGGCTCATATAGCGTTTTAAGATAATGTGGAATAGAACTTAACAAGATGTGCTTATAGACCTTCCACTGCCAAGGGTATCTGTTTTGCTTAAGAAGATTTAGAGAGGTTGCTAATGGATAGTTGTAAATTGTCTTCTGGCACGTTATAAGTAACATCCAAATACTTAAAGGTATAGACACTACAATATCAGTCACAGCCGGCGCAGTAGCAAGAGTTGACATCATGTTCCCACCCCGCTCCCGTCCAATCTTACTGCAGATGGTATAAAAGAGAAGGAGAAAGATACCCTTAAGCAGGTACCTTGTTAATATGTGTGTGAAGATAAGCACGTGCCGTTGCTCAACAATGTGAATTGCCGTCATCCCTTCATCAAATATAATACTCAACCCTCCGAGCGTCGAACAGAGTACTAAGTATTTGGTAGCGTACGAGTCATCTGAGGTGCCTACTGCACTAACGATATAACGGGACGCGGGGGCAATGGTGAGAGAAACTAGGGTGCACCAGCACACAGAGAGAATAATATAGCCAAGGAGGTATGCATTAGCAAATATGGCGTGGCCCACTTCCAGCTCCTTGTGAACAAACGATGCTGCCGATAAAGAAAAGGATATGATTGGACCCCGAATGGCTATCTGATAAATCGGGTACACAGTGGCAAGAGCAAGGAAGCCATGGAGGCCAGTGAAATAAATCATTACTACACATTCCATTACCAAGTATCCTGCATACGCAACATCTAATAATAGGTTTATAAAGTATCCACGCCAAATCAATCGCATTAAAGAATAACGAGGAAAGGTGGGAATAAGTGATTGTTCTGCCCCCTGCGTGTATCCTTCCTGCTTCTTATATCTATTCTCCATGTATTTGTCTAGTAGTTGAATAATCGTCATACGCGGTTTCCGAGCCATTCTTTAATTTTATCTCAAGACTTCCTGCTTCCGATGCCCATAGACGTATCGGATTCAGATGGTTTAGGAGAATTTCTTCAGATTGAGCAGATGGTGTCAGGGGAAGACCCCGATGTGCTTCGAAAGTTCGCTAGAGACTTTGCAAAAGAATCACCCCCTCCACACAAGCTGCGGCACGATCTCACAGGGAGCTGTATAGATATTTCAGACGATACTGACTTGGACGCAAATCCATATCCATTAGATGGACTGTATACCGCAGAAGGTGCCCCGCGACAACAGCGAATTCTCACAAGACATAACCTATTATCAGAGCGCCCACAGGTCGGCGAATCTCAAAGTTATGACTTCGAAAATGGGTATTCTCCTGGACCTGATTCCAGACTTGCCCATTCAGCTTTGGGAGCAACAGTGGAGCAAGATTTTCTGGCAGACCTTGACGTCGAGGACGATATTATATCTGTTGACCCGCATATTGAGAATGATACTGATGCCAAGGCACACATGGACAACGCCGCTAAGTTCTTATCCGATAGCCATTATCAAAGTGCTCCAGACTTTGGGGAAACATATACCCATAATCGAGAAGATTTACTTAGCAATTCCTACTTCCAGGCTGTAGAGAGACAATCGGATAATTATGCAGCAGTAAAGGACCCGCACTCAAGCCATGATAATTGTGAAGAAAGTGAGGATTTAGAGTCCAAGTTTCATGCATCCATTAGGAAAAATAGCTTAGCGGGAATTGAAACAGACCTTGCCTCTGTTGATGAAGAAGGTGTCTCCACTGGAACGGTAGTTCACCTACCTAAATTTCTTACTCTAGAATCAGTGGAGAATAGCAACACAATAGTCCGCATGAAGTCAAACTCCACTGGGATTAGTCGTTTCTTAGAGGCTGATGATGTCAGAAAGCAGTCGGAGGTCCCTGACGGGCCTGCAGATTTTAATGCAGCTCGCGACCAGAGTGCACCTACGTCTGTCCAGAGTCAACAACGACAGCAACAAATTGCTCTTCCCCCAGCCAGTGCAGATGACCGCATTGACGAACAGCTTCGATTGATGGAGAGGGAAATCAACAAGTTAACAGATATGCAAAAGGAGGTCGACGAGTCCTTGAAAAAGAACGCCGCAGAGCATACTGAACGAATGCGTAAGCTAGAGGCAGACAAGGCGGAATTTGACAGAATCAGGAAGGAGGAATGGGCAAAGATAAAGAAGGAGAAACAACAACTAGACGACCGCCGAACGGCTTTTAAAGATAAAGATAGCAAATTGAAAGAGCTTACAGCAGAATTAGAGAAGCACAAGACCAGCAATCAGAAGTTAAGGGAGGATATGCGCCGCAAAGACAACAACTCGCGGCTAACTTCAGAACAATTGCGCTCAAAAATCGACACTCTTACAGAGGAAAATAACAATTTAAAGAAGCGGTTGGAACTGAGTGATAAGGCAGCTATTGAAATGCGCCAGAAGATTCTTAACTTGGAAAAGCTGAATAAAATGCTTCAGATTCAAGCTCGTTCTGATACTTCTGATAGAGAACCGTCTTCTAGAGCTATGAATTCCCCACCAAGACGTCAAGGTCCAGCTGCAGCTCCGCTAAATGTCCATGTGAGTGACACGGAGCAAGAGAATGACTCCATGGTCACTGTCAATAAGCCACTGAGGGCAGACATACCTAATAAAACTCTCTCTAACATAACAAGTAGTCCTGGAAGAAACCTTAGCCAGACGCTGAACCACGATTGGCGGGGCCAAATTACAAAGGGTCGGCCAATCAGCGCTGATATAGATTCCATAAGTCCTAAAAGGAACCCTGCACACCTTAGTGCAACGGCTCGCCCGGGATCCTCGCACGTATCATTTAAGGAACAGGTATCCTCATCAATTCAACAGCCCAGACAGCCTATCGCACTACCGAAGGCAACCGTGGGGGCGCCTTCCAGACAATCGCTTTCTATGCACGCACCAGAGAACGATGAGGTTCTCAAATTACTGCCGTACAGCACCCCGGATTTGTTCTTCCGACAATTTAACGACAGTGTCCTGGCTTACGTGAAGGATGCTCAAATACTAGAGCAGCATACAAAGAATCAACGTGTGGATAAAGTGCTTTCCACTGGCGCTACGCTTACCGAATTTGATAATGGAACAATGAAGCTACAGATACCGCACAGAGGAGAGATAAACATCAAGTTTCAAAATAATGACCTGAAGCAGCTACACAGCGATGGCAAGATAGTCTATTTTTACCATGAAAAAGGTATTCTAATGACTACAATCCCAGTGGTTCTTATAAATCCATCTGCTGCAATCAGCAAGGACGAACGCATCAGTGTGTATAGATTCAGCTCAGGGCAGATTGAGAAGCACTATGCTGACAATCGCAAGGAGGTTTACTACCCAGATGGGTCTAAGAAGTATGTCGCAGCTGATGGATCTGAGCATTCTATTCTAGCTGACGGCACTGAGAGTCACTACACTCCTTAGAAGTCTATTGTGCTACTCTATGACTGTGTTAACTCGCTGATGACAGCGATTGCGTACTTGTACCATTTGGCTAGGCGATCGTCTGATCACACGTTCCGAATCTAGTCCATACTCTTGCGCAAAGCTGTATAGAGAGCATTCCCCAGGGAGGATTGGAGGCTTGTAGTCTTTATCATCTGATGCGTGTGCAGGGACTGGTGGGCATAGCGTGATGGCGCCCATAAATGCGACGCGTTGGTGCACTACCGAAGGACTCTGCACAAACTGCGCGACTGTCTTGTAAATAGCTGAAAGGCTGGTTGAGGTGGCATCTCTGTCAAGTGCCTTCCCTCTGAGTACCCATAAGGATGTGGTGTAGGAGATAAAGCTGTCCAGCAGGTGGCCGATCACATGCTGAAGATCTGGAAACCTGAGCTTTAGCCGCTCTCCGATGACTAACAATGAAGCAACTTGCATGTCAAGTACTTCTATTTGCTTGCAAGTAACTATCGACGGATAGGTGTCTGCTGCAGCTTCTGTGACATCCTCCATGATGCATCGGCTTTGAACAGCCTGAACCAAACTGCTCCAAAGTGGCGCATGCTTGATCTTGGAGATGTGTGGAGCACCCTTAAGCCGTGGTTCGGAGAGAGCTACATGCAAGGTACCCTTAGCTTGCTTTCCAGTAGGGAACCAATCTGGATCATTTCCCTCCTGACGATCTTCCTTCTCTCGCTTAGCTGCTTCATCTAGAGAGTAGGTTCCATAGTATCTAAAGATCAATCTGCCAAGGAAGCTAGAAGGATCCAACTCGAAAGAGCTATCCATCTGATTTCTTTGGCAAAAGCACAGGGCCGCGCCCAACAAATTTACTGTGATTCTCCACCTTCCCCATCAGCTAGAGGAAGAGTGTCGTAGCAGGACTGGCGAATAATTCCAACAACTTCGGGCACTGTTATCGGCCAGGGGTGCATCTTATTCTTTCCGCTTGCAAATAGAGAAATTGCATAGTCCATTACTTCTTCCTCGTCATAAAGAGTGCGGCGACCCTCCACATCTGCGCAAATGACCTGCTCAACCATATCTTTGAACTCCTCATAACTGTCCATTTGGAATGCAGAAAGAATCTTCTCTAGCGTCTTTTCGAAGCGCTGATCGTCATGTGTCTCCGAGTGCTGCTTACATATATTCAGATACGCTATCAAGAAGATGGCACAGGCCTTCCCGTGTGGAACACCCTTGAAATAGGTTATCTTGTACGAAAGACCGTGTGCAATGGAGGTGCCTCCAATTGTAATGGCTATACCAGCGTAGCAAGAGGCAAGCGTCATCTCATCGCGAAACTCTGTCATCTCCGGGTCTGTTAAGTCCGTAAATGTTGTCTTCATGATCGCCGGCTTCAAGTAGAAATGCCAGCAGATCTGAAGATGCTTAAGGCTCTCAACAGATGCTTTAACAGAGAGCTCAGTTGTTTTAACCGTAAGCATAGATTCAACTGCATGACACAGGATGTCCAGGAACATGCTAAGCGTTTGAGATGTCGGCAGATACAGTTGATAGCAAGGGTCGACCAGCGAGATCTTCGGAAATACGAGGTTAGGAATGCTGATTTTAGTTTGCTTAATGTGGTCGGTCAAAATGGCATAGGGCGTTACTTCAGAGGCTGTGCCTGCTGCCGTGCTAATGCATATCACATCCTTTGGTGACTCAGAGATTGCCACCTTGATGCCCTCCTTGTTGACTAGATATACAGCAATGGCTTTTGCCGCATCCATAGCGGAGCCCCCTCCCAGCCCAATGACAAAGTCCACCTGCTTACCAGACACCTGTCTGGCTGCCTTTGTGACGGTCACTGTACTAGGGTTCGGCTCAACCTCATTGAAAAGATAACTTTCGATCTCGTGGCTGGCTAATATGTCCTTTAGCTTGCTCAACGAGTGGTTTGCCTGGGATGAAGTACTTCCTGTGACCACAAGAGCCTTCTTGCCTGCATACGACGCAAAGATACTTGCATGTTTCTCAAGCACGTCGCGATCGATATAAATTGGATGCCTGATCACATCGGCAAAGGCACTCAGGTCGAGGGGCATTTTTAAAATTAGATTTCTCAAGGACACCGAGTCGCTTTGTTGCGACCTCATATCTGAGAGTACGGACCAGGTCCATTTACTAGGGAGCTGGTAGCTATGAAAAAACATCACATTAGTCCGATTCGTGAGCTCACTATTGAAGAATTGCTAGAGAGTTTTGGAGGCATGTTCACCTTATTAGTCTTTTTCTTACATACAAACCACCAGACAAGAAACCCTATTACGCCTGCTATTGCCAATATTGCGATAGTAACCCCTACTGCGATACCTGTTGCATTAGATCGAGACCCTGTCTCATTCTGAGGTTGGGTGCTATACTCAAGGCAATGAACAGGGCCATGTCCAGTGGACGGAGCCTTGCACTTGGTGCAGTTGGGAACCCCCATAATGAGAGAGCCACTGTCCGTTGAATCGCACTTAAAGCAGTACCTATTGTTGACAATAGCATAGGTTGATTGACAGCTGGTACAGTAAAGATCAGAATTACAGCTCATACACCCTTCGCCGCAATGAATGCATTTCCGGGTCTGTGTGTTTCCAATGTAAGGACCAAGAGTCGCGCAATCGGATACACAGGATCCGTCGGGTGCTAGAAAGAAGTTCTCCTGACAGCGATCACACGTTGACGGATCTGTCTGGCAAAGCTCGCAATTTTTCATTGAGCATGAAGTTGAAGAGATGCAGTGAACCTGATTAAAATTGGGAACCATTCCGGTAGTACAAGCACTACATTTTAACTCAGTCGTCGTGTAACCGCCTTTGTAACAGCGAATGCAGTTTGGTATCCCTGTAAAGGTACTGCCAGACTGGGTAGATGAGCAAGCAATGCAGTTTCCCACTGATCCTGGAACATACTGTTCCGGGACACAGTCTGTACACTGGTTTTCTCCAGGGCCTACACAAGCCCTACAGCTGGAATGGCACTTCTCGCAGGCACCAGTAGCACTGTCTCCATAGTAGTGATTGTCATCACTGTTCTGAGTGCTGCAGTTACTCACACACGTTTTATTATCAAGAGCAAGATAGGTGCGCATGTGGCACACAGCACACCTTGTCGTATCCGTAGTGTTGCACGTTTTGCATGCAAGGATGCTACAGTCACCCTCGGGAGGTCCAGGCGGCGTAACAGCATTGCAGTGATTATTTTGAGGAACCGATCCATCAGAGCATTTCGTACAAGTTAATGTGGATTGCGCATATGAACACTCCACACAGTTTGCAATACCCTGTCTAGCTGTATCGCTACATGAAACGCATGCTTGCATATCACTCGCAGTAGGATTGGTGAACAGACCAGATGCTGTGCTTGTGTTACACTGCAGGCATCTGCCACCGACATCCACATCTCCAGAGCAGATGGACCTAGCCAGAGTGGAGTACCTGTGATAGCAGCCTCCATAGTGGTAAACAAACTTCTTCTCAGCACACTGTGTACACCGTCCACCACTACATGTGCACATAAGGTTAAAGTCACTACAATCACCGTCTATAATCGCTAAACCGGTGTTCTTACATTGCTTGCAGCATATAGTATCAGCTACGTGAATCTGATTGGATACTTCACAGATTTTGGGGGCATAATTTCCGTTGGCCAAAAGACACGTGGATGCAAACTGCAGAAAGCCTGCTCCACAACGGTTACAATATGTAGATCCAGACGACGTAGAATGCACACACCCCGAAAGGGCATCCTCTACGCCTCCGATGGGAACACACTTGTTGTCTATGGCTACTTTGTCTCTGTCAGCGCAGCCATGACAGATGACCACAAAACCGCCTGTGCTGCCATCGTCTGGAATTGCCGTGCACAGGTTGCACCCGGAAGTACCATCTGACTCAAAGCATGCAATGCAAGACTGAGTTGTGGAGGATTTCTTCGGATTATCAGTATATCCATCTTGGTTGCACTGAGTACAATAACCGTCAACCAGTTGCTCATTCTCATCATCAACAAAGTCACATACTAGACTTCCAGCGCTGTCCGTGCTGATGTTGAAGCAGCTACCGTAATGGAGAAAATAACCTTTAGTACATCTAGTGCATCCTGCTGCCGAACAAACGTTTCCTTGTGCGTCATTTGCAGATACACATCTACCGTTTATAGGAACCTTCTCTGTTGCACATTTAGAACAGTATTTGAGATCATTTATAGAGATTGTACAAGAGCCAGACACACCACCGCAGTCACTATCAGATGTGCATCCGGCAACAATAGAGGCCTTAATAATTACTGTAACTAGAATCATGGCTAGGGATGTGTGCAAAGAAGTCATCATTTAATCTTTAAATTTTTGTTCCGCATGTAGAGTAGAATAGGTTACAACGTTAACGTTTCTAACCGCTCTATGCTCGTGTGCATTGTTGGAGAAAGGGTATTGTCATATCCTGCCTCTAGAAGCAGCCTTATTTCGAGATCACTTAAGGGCGCATAGGGGAGAGTGGGAAGAACGTGATCAATACATAGAGCAATGTCGTCTACGTTGTCGCTAGTTGAGCAAAGCAGGCCTTCTCCGTCTGCCTTGCAAATCTCCTTTATGACCTGTCCCAAACCGTCTACAGACTCAACCCCTATAGATTCATATAGTTGGCGAATTTCTTTGCCCAACGAATCTTCTCTTATCCGTAGAAGAGGCGCAAGGAACATAGCTGACGATTTCCCAATATTGGACCCATGCCTATAGGAGACTGCTGATCCCAAGTATGTCAAAAACCCGATGCCTAGTTTGTTTTGTAGCAGGCCAATCTCCACTGCACACGCTGCAAGAGCATATATAAAGTCTCGCTTCTTTAAGTACTCAGTGTTGAATGATTTTAGGTAGGGTCTGATCCCCAGGAGCCAAGCATCGTATGTATGCACGAGGAGACGAAGATAGACCGGCTGACATTCAGGATAAAGGGAAACACCTCCTGCCAGTAGATACTCGGCTGCATTCACTATACCCATCAAGAATGCAGGGATGCTCATGGCCGGTGTCAGCGTCTCAAAGTACGTGGTGCTTAAAAGAACAGTTTCTGCTCTTAGGGTACAAATTATACTAATGCAATGCTTGCAGCGATGATCCATCAAGACTGTGAGCCGGGTGGACAGGGCTCCACAGCCAGGACCCGTGGGGATTAGTATGAGCGGTGTCCTGACGCTGCTAGTCTCGTGGTTTGATGCCACAAACTTTGCAACGCTCAGCACAGAACCCCCACCAATCGCAATTAAAAAGCTTGCGCCACTCTTCCGAAACGTCTTCGTAGCCAGGTGGGCTGACGTTACAGATGCGCCCGATTCTAGTATCTTATGGTGCTGGTATGCAATAGAGAGTTGCTCGAGGGCTCCTATGACATCTGCCATTGCCCCGGACTGATGCCCGGATTGCATCCCAGTAATGAGCATGCAGCGCTCCTCTGCTAGCGGCATCAATATAGTTAGCAATCTAGGGAAGATGTTATCCGGCATTTCAACGTTAAGCCCGTTCAGTCGCGCTATGTCGTCCATCACTGCTTGGTTCATGATTTTTGGAATCCTTGCATTTCCTTAGGATGGCGCGTAGCTGTTCATATGTGAATTTTTCACTGCCATCGGGCGCATGTTCGTTTTGAAAGTGGGCCCATCTCGTATCTGCTACACTGGCTCCGAACTTCTCGAGCAGACACCTCAGTTGGTTGATGTGGATTGTTCCAGTAGACGCTGGATCAAGGGTTTCTACCAGCATCGTGAAGATCTCATCCTCCTGAGGTTTATTGGTCAAAAGAATAGCTGCTCTTTCAACATCATACACAGTGTACCTTCTCTCTGGATGTATTTGCAAAGCCGATAGTACCTCGTTTAGAGAGTCTCCACTTGTAGCAAACCCGGAGCTTAGCAGCACATTGCTAAGTTCGTCAAATGTGAGAAAGCATCCACCCGTTTGCAGGCATGACCCTAGCACTTCTTCACACCGGCTCCACTCTTCACCAAACTCACACTTGTCCAGTTCCATTTATGGCTTACGTATTTATACGTTTACTGTTATCTGTAGCGCTTCAGGACAAGTACCTCTTTAATTGCGGACCTGTTGCATACGCGCTAACTGTTGTGCCATCAAGCTGGACCACATCCTTTTCGTATGGGTACAGGATTTCGTAGCAATCAAGATGATCGCCTTGTGCTGCAGCCATCAATGCGGTGAATCCTGCGCCGTTTGGATGGCTTGCGTTTGTTCTGAACCCAGACTCGCTGGTGACAAGCAACTTCACGATCTCTGTGCGGCCCAGAGTAGCTGCTTCCATAAGCGCTGTGACCCCTTGGTTGGTGGTCATGCCGGCCTCATATTCTATAAGTAATTCAACGATGTGGTCGTGTCCGTGACGAGCTGCCGACATAAGTGCGGTGAATCCTGTTTGTGTTTGAAGTCCTGCCTCGGCTGAGAGTAGCAGCTCGACTATATCCGTATGCCCCTTAAAAGCCGCTAGCATGAGGGCCGTGACTCCGCTGACATCCGACATGCCTGCTTCATAACTAGATAAGATTCTAACACACTCTGTATGACCCTGAAACGCTGCGTGCATAGTAGCGGACCACGACTTGAGATCTTGACGCCCATGCTCGTACTCGGCAAGAAGGGCGACCATAGCATCGTGTCCGCTTGTTGCTGCAAGCATAAGGGCTGTATTCTTTTCTTGGTCCACTAAACCCTGCTGAAGCCTCCGCAGACAGTAACATAGAGGCAAGTCGTTGCTGATGGCAGCTATCATCAGCTCTGTCTGCTGGTTGTTGGTACGCCGATAGGAGGAAACGTCAGGAGCTTCTACCGGAGCAAGAACTTCGGCTACGTTTATATGGCGATGAAGAAGCGCTAGATGCATTGCTGTGACACCGTCAGTGTTCCGCTTCAGCCCAGCCTCCCTTGGAATGAGAATTTTAACACATTCCTCGTATCCATAGATAGCTGCAAGCATCAGTGCCGTATTTCCGTGGTTATCTGTGGCAGTTGCGTAGATGTCCTGTGTTTGCCACACGCCAATCAAATCATTGTTCATTACTGCTATGTGAAGAGGAGTATATCCATTGGCATCATATTTAACATCGCGGTCCTCTACCTTGGTCTTTTCAAGCTTCTTTCGAAGAGACGCGTTTCGCATCAGTGTTTGTAGGTTTCGCTGCACAAATAGTTCAGCGCCCTTGATGAGATTGTGCTGATCGATAAGACCTAGATGCAGCTCTGCATTGTACTTTTTTAAGGAGGCTTTCTCCCAGATAGAGTCAGATATGAGAGTTGCAATGCCCAGCCTATTTGCCTTTAAAGCATGCTCCAATAACTCATACCTTATATCAGTCCGGTCTGGATCAAGACGCCGCACAAACTCCCAAATGCTCACTATATCGTTGTCATCAATGGCTGCATGCCCGAAGCGAATCTGCTTGTCTATATCCCTTGGGTTATACTGTGCACGCACTGCAATTGCCTGTCCATCGGTTTGGGACAGCTCTGCCGCAACTTCGTAGTGTTGAGATAAGAGTGCAAGCACAAGAGCAGACTGTCCATGTATGTTGCATTGATCAATATTCTTGCTATGCCGAGTCAGTGATGGCAAACACTCAATCATCCCAGTTTCGGAAACTAACATCAACGGTGTTACATTATTGTGATCTGCTGCAGAGGCCTCGAAGTGGGATAGAGCATCTATGACCTCACGATTCCCCCTATCTATGGCTAGCATCAATGCCGTTTTCCCAGCTCCATTTCGAATATGAGCCTCCTTCGGCGCCAGAATAGAAATGAGAGACACATTATCCGATAAAACTGCCATGTGAAGACACGTGTTTCCGTGATCATCAACCTGCCCTGCCTCATACTGAACCAGAATCTGACTGGCCCGGAGTAAAGAGAGAGCGCACGCATTCATCAGCGCCGTCCTATTGTGCGAGTCACGAATACGTGCTTCAACAGCGGCCAAACATGGAATACATGCAAATGACTTAGATGCAACAGCGATATGAAGAGCTGTGTCTCCATAATTGTTGCGAATACACCCCTCGGTACGTACAAGTATGCTAGCTAGGTTCTCCTTATTGTCCTTCACAGCATACATGAGAGCAGTACACCCATGAGAATCAACAAGGCCCGACTCAACAGCTGCAAGCATCTCCACCAGATCCAGTGACCCCAGTTGTACGGCATACATAAGAGCGGTTCGTCCATCCAGATCCTGAAATCCGGCCTCAATGATCACAAGCTCCTTTGCGGCCCTCAGTGACCCGCTCTGAATGGCAAGCATAAGACTCGTTTGATTATTGCTAGTAACAGTACGAGCATACTTCATGTTTATTTGGACCTGGTAGAGGTCATCCGAAACAGCGGCATGCATCAGCGGGGTAGCGTCGAAGTCAAGTTCCACTTGTTGACGTCGGGATAAAGCGTCCACTTCAGCCTTCGTTGCTGAAGATTGTAGAGAGTGTTGTAGCTGTTCCAACGCTTCGTGGGTCGTTGTAAAACCATTAACAGCATCAGAAATGTGTTTGGCAGTATCTAGGTCACTATGAGAGAGCTTTTCTTCAATGTGTGTAAGGCCAGCACCCGGCTTGTTGTTGGCGTGACAGGGAATGAAGTTGTCAAGCTTCTGCATTGTACTAATCGGAGACGCAGTCTGACTCGTTCGACTATTACTACCTAAACTGCTACCGGGGCTTTTCAAGGTTGGAGTGAGGCTGTGAAAGAGAACTTCGTTCTCCCCTTTGTCCTCCATAGCACTCTTGGTCAAGTTCTCATCTCGGCACGCACTGTAATGCACAACATAATTTTTACGATTGCTGGGATCCTTTGCTGCATTCATTTTCGGGAATTCATGCCTGTTTTCATCATCTAACTGCTTACCTGGCCGTCCATCTGGAGACACAAAGTTACCATCCAATGCCTGTCCATCACGTGTATTCCCTTGTTCTTCCTGTATCTGTAAGTCTGCCGGCTTAGTTAACTCTGTCTGATGGATTCCAGGATTTGGTTGCTCAGGTAAAGACAATATCTGCCTGAGAACACGTTGTGGAGACACACCCCTAAGCTGAGGAGAAGAGCATGATGTCCTGTAATGACTTGTCACTAGAGTACTAGCGTTCTCTATCTGCTTGTTGGTAAGGAGCCAGTTATCCAACCAAGACGCTATCTGCCTGTAGCCTTCTCGTGCAGCTAATCTGGCGCACTCAATAAGATCGCATTTTCCCAAGTTTCCATGCTTCACCAAGAGCTTCACAATCTCAAGGTAGTTCCCCATGATAGCGTATTCAAGGGCTCCCATGCCATTTGAGTCTCGCTCAGGGCCTAAGAACCCCAGTAGTTCCTTGCAACATTCATAGGAACCTGCTTCTGCAGCTATCATGAGAGCCGTCCTACAGTCGGGGAGAATGACCAGTCGCTCCAGAGGGGCAAGAACTTTGCAGCATGCAGTGTTATTTGACTGACATGCATACATCAGAGCAGTGAAGCCTGTACGTGTGGTAGCACAGGACTCAGAAATAGCGAGGATCTGGCACATTTCCGCGTCCCCAAGGATAGCTGCCCGCATTAGGCCTGTCATGCCGTCTTCGTCTCTCCTTCCCCCAAATATTGCTATGCTTGTCTTGACCTGAGCATACTTCCTGCTACAGATCCCGTTAAACCAGTCATGAACACTCGTGAGCATAAGACAAATTTTTGGGTGAGTGTAATACTCGCGTCTTAAGGATCGATAAACCACGTAGGCTTCTGCATGATGCTTGCTCTCTAAGGCCGACAGGCAATTGTTAATTTTGTAGAACTGAAGTGACATTCCGCGGCCTTTGCGCGGAAGAAACTTTTAAAAATGTCGACGTACACTTCCCTTAATGCGTCCTTCGGCAGCTCTGCGGGGACGAGGATGACTGCCTTTCCAAACTCAGCAGAGATGATTGAGACGGCGGTTCCCCATGCCACGCAGAGAAGGCTCTCGTCTGGTTCGGGCGCCCTCCACGACTTCCATGACAAGGTTTTCACGCAGAATATGACCTCTCCATCTAACCTCATAGGCTCTGGTCGCTTCGTTAACTCGAGGGTCGGCGATCCCGCGAGCTATGGGCTGGCACGCGACTTCTTTTCATTTGATAGCCACAGGCTTCCTGATGTCAAGGTATCTGGTGGTTCTCTCTCCTCGTCTCTTTCCTCCAGTCGAAACGTCAAGGAGCCGATGCCCCTCATGTCCCAGACGGCTGAAACCCTGGCCATGGTAGGGTCGTGCCATAGCAAACCTATCTACACTGTCTACGACAAGGGGACTTCGCGTGTCTTCGGTCCGGGCAACGAGACCATGTTTGCCAGAGATAAGATCTTTACAGGGGTGGTTTCATACCCCATGAGGCCGTCTCCGAAGTGGAGCTTCCGCTCGTCTGACTACCCCACCGATAACAAGGTTATCCCGCCGTTCATCGGCGATGCTGAGACGGGTCGGTACGCACATTCTGGGCGCCTTTCGTCCAGCGACATCATTAAGCCAAGCGCGTACAAAACTTACGGTACTTCGTCGGAGGCTGTCTATGTGCCCTCTGTTGCACGCTACAACTCGGTCCTCCCAGTTTCGGTGACCCGTACCACAAGCGCAGGCCTGAGGTCTTCTTCCTCATCCTTCTCAAGCCACGTCGCACCGGTCGCCGCAGCTCTCGATAACCTTGGCGCTAGCTTCAGCAAGATGGGCAGAGGAAGCTCCATGGGCAGCAGGAGCCTCTCCGTTAGTACTGCGCCGGGTACCATGCGCATCTCAAGGAATTACACGCTTGATTCGTTAGCAAACGTCTCTGTTTATTGATAGTCTTTGCTGAGTAAACAAGGTCTCCTTTGCGCTCGTCGGGGGACGGCTAAAAATTCTGTTCCGCGCACTTTTCTTAAAAAGAAAATAGGATGGAGGACCTTCCCTTCTCTACGTCTCCTATCAACGCACGGCCAAAGTCTCTCCTCGAATCCGGTCTCGGTGACTCCCTTAGGGCCAGTGCTGCGGGGAATTCTTTTACGAAGATGGCTCCAGGATCAATGCAGACCTCCGGGATAAACGGTGTCACCTGCGGGAGCACGTTTGACTCAGATGCCTATGTAGCCAAGGTCAATCATATGAACTACTTACACGCAACAGCACCTTACTCACCACCAGTACGCACCACAGAAAGCAGGATAGGGCAGCCCGAAACCTATGGGTTAGCACGTGATTTCTTTAAGCGCAGCATGCCTCGTTCTTATAGCGCCTCCGCAGGACATCTCTCTCGGAAGTATGCGGGGCTTGAACCGGGATCTCTGACTGGGCGAGACTTTTTCATAACGAGCAAGGAAATGGCAGAGCAGAGCAAAAAGAGTGACCCGACCAAGTTGCCTGGCGGTGAAAATTTTAAGTATGGGTGGAAAATCGGTAGTCCGGCAGGGTGCGGAAGGGGAATTGATATCAGCGCCTACATGACTTCTCCGTCGGCTCTCTTGCGTAGCGAGAGCTATTTCGATGCACACAGAAGGCTCTGCAGAGAGCCTGAACCAGAGACGTCTCGCCTTTGCAAGTGTGCCGACTGGGAACGCCCTGTGTGCAAAACCTGTGGAAAGGCCCATGCAAATGGCGCTGTTGGAGGCTGCGAATACGCAAAGGCAGTCTCGGACAGCTACCTAGCAAAGGAAAAGGACTCTGCATATGCGTTCACAGTTAATAACGTCGCTGCCACGCAAGGTCACTTGCTTGCCGCCGGCGCACGCCTCCGCGGAGCACAGAATTGCAAGAACAACTGCCCTGTTTGCCGCATGGAGCACTATCAGCCCTCGGAGCTCTGCAAGGAGCATATGGCTCACACGGCAGATAGAATCCGAGATTATGAAGTGCGCTCCCTTATGCGCAGCCAAGACTTGGGATGCGGCCTCCACCCTGACCGGCTTCCTTGCAAGGTTTGCCATGCACATCATATTATGTTCACGCCACACGACAACCCTCGAAGCCACCAGTTGCCAGGCTCATGCAGGGTCTGCGGCTCATACCACAGTCCCGAATACATGCTAGACAGGGCCTGTCGCACAGCAGGAATGGATAGTGTTTCCAGGCTTCAGACCCTTGCTAGCTCCACCGGGGTGCCACGTATGGATGGGAGCACATACAGTATGCCTCATGGGCCCCTCTCTGGGTCGAGAGGCGGCATGATGAATAAGTCTGGTGCCTTTAATAGCAACATGAGTCTCAGCTTGGGCGTTAGCACAGCACCGGGGACTCGTCGTTTCTCGATAGTATAAGTTACCAAAGTAAATGATATACTATCAGTTTCTGATTGGATCGTCTGCGTCCTCCTCAGGGAGCCGCATGCGCGGTATGCCTTCAGTAATTGGAAAGACTAGTCCGCAGCTATTGCAAGTAATAGAACCCTCAAGTATTATAAACCCGTAAAGCGTATATGCGAGGACAGTTAGAAATTCCTGGTTTGAGTCATAGTCGTCTGGTAAATCGGGAGGCAGACCTTCAACTGCATGTCCAACCATGCCATAGAGCATAGGATAGTCCATTCTGCTGGCTAACTTGCGAACTATATCGATGTTATACTCCGGGGCGTCGTCTTCCGCCTGCTCAGTGACGTCGACAGTGAAGCCGGCGTTGGCAGTGCAGCACGATTTCCTGGGGCAGGTGAGCGTAGAAAGAAGGAAAAGATGCATTTATACGATGCAGCGACAGAAATTAAATAATTGCTCAAGTTTTGAGCAAGAAATGACGAGTCACCTAGGAGGTCAGAGTCCCCTTATTGACGCAGAAGTTCCCCTCCAACCCCTTCCAGAAGGACACAAGCTTAATAAGGAGCAATTCCAACTCGTAGATAACCTTCTGCTCAGCTATTTGAAAAATTGCAAGCTATATGTCTCCTCAGAGGAAACACGGAAAAAAGAAGCCATTCTTAGGAACCTGGAGCTTATAATTTCAGACTGGGTGTATGAAACGTACAAAGACGCATTCTTGGCCAACATGCAATTCTATCGAAAGCAACCTAACATGCCTCGCTCAGAGCGTCTGGTGAGGTTGTATCCCTTTGGGTCATACTATCTTGGCATTAATGAACCATCATCAGATGTGGACACAGTCGTTATCTTTCCACAATATGTCCGAATAGCAGACTTCTTTGATAAGTTCCCGACCATCATAGGACAGATGCCACAGGTGTCCTACTTTGATTGCATTCGAGACGCAAAGGTGCCGCTCATCACCTTAACGTATGACTCCGTTGATTTCGACCTGAGCGCGGCCGTCATGGCAGTCAACCGCGTGACCGATGCCATACCCTTTCTTGATCCAGAATGCACGGCCAATATGCACGAAAAGTCCATTTTGTCGCTCAATGGGTATCGCACAAACATCCATGTGAAGTCTCAGTTCGCTGGGAACAATATATTCTATAGCACATTCCAAAATGCTGTACGTGCTCTTCGTCTCTGGTGCAAGCGGAAGAACATCTACAGTAATCGCTGTGGTTTTTTCGGCGGCATCAATTGCATAATATTAGTGGCAAACGTAATGTTGCGGAGCTCGTTTGAGCTTCTGCAATTGGATGTAGAACAACAAAACTTGGAATATCAAGCTTCTTTATCCACTGCACAAGGCGATCTCACCAGTCCCAGTGACCCGCAATCACCGTACATTCAATACAACAGTGACTCTATTCTGGAGTTACGAGAAGCTGTCCCTCTTACCTTGTGGCTGTACAATATATATTATTATTACTCTCGACTAGATTGGAGCACAAAGGCCATTCAGCTACCAAATCCTGTACAGGCATCAGCAGCTACCAGACTATCCATGACAGCTCAGAGCTGGGTGCGGCGAGACAAGGACAAGATGTGCCTTCTCACCGCAGTGGAACCATATTTTAATAGCACGGACAAAATATTTGAAACAACTTTCGACACCATCCTGACAAACTTCCGGCAGGGGGTCAAAGCTATATTGGACATAGTTAGAGGAGTAGTGGCAGCATATTCATTTGGACTTGAAATTGCACGGCCCCTTTTGCGGCCATCTCTTTGGGACACATTCTTCTATAACAGCTTTTTAGAGTTTTTCTCCAATCCGGGCTATAGACCAAATATTATGTATCTGCTAATAACGCGGAATACGATGTCATCAAACAGCATGGTGGAATTAGACAAAGTGAAGAGCTTTCTAGAATCTCGGATAAATCGGATATGTCGTCGTCTTTTAACGAGCCTTCAGCCTGCAGTGGGAAATAATGCTAGGCTCATTCGCGTTCATCCTCTTCCGACGTGGTATGATAGCACAAGCCTTGGTGAGTTAGAGCATGGAAAGCACTACTTCTACATAGGAATGGAGACGTCTACCACTGGAGACCTTAGGGGTCTATCTGAGCGCCTCTCGCAGGAGGTAAGGGACTTTGCAAGAGAATGCAAGGGATATCTTTCTGAAAAGAGAATGCTACTGGGCATGGAATCGATTGATAAGATGCTCCAGATTAGAATCACAACCTACAAAGACCTTCCAGAGGCACTCCGAGGCCTCTCGCCGCCAGAACAAGCCAAAACCTTGTATTGTACGAGCGGTCAGCAGATCGAGTGACACCGGCGGCGCGGCTGATGTGACGAATGTTATGATAAACGGTGAAGAATCTGCCAACTGAAGACTTGACACACGCCTCTTCATCCATTGGCTCTTTAAATATATTACTGATATGCGATAAATAAATGCGTATTGTACATTTTCTTGGTGTTCCCGGCGCAGGTAAATCTACCGTCATTGGCCGATTTTGTCAAGAGTACCCCCTGTGTGCGAGTCTTTACATTGGCCAAATCGTCCGCGAGGAGATCCAGCGACAGACCCCACTCGGGCAAGAAATGCAGCTAATGTTGGCCCAGGGAAATGTACTTTCAGGGGACGCAGTTATACCTATCCTCCAGCAGGAGATTGCACACCATGAAGCAACTGGAACAGCTGTTCTTTTTGTGGACGGCTTTCCTCGGTCTGATGATCAAGCTCGTGCCTACTTACTGCACTTCGGTTCTCCTACTTTAACACTTTGTCTCTCCGCTTCGGATGAGGTAATTGCCGAAAGGCTGATGACAAGACAGCAGTCTACTACACTACGACTCGATGACACAAAGGACATAATACAGCGGCGCATTGAAAAGGCACGAGAACATGTACAGCCAGGGCTAGATGTTTACATAGAGCATAACTGCAAAGTAGAAATTATTGATAGTAGCGGGTATTTGGATGAAGTCTGTTCGTCTGTACTGAAAATGCTGCATAAGCATAAAGTATTATAGCTGTTTAATTCGACTCAACTATAGATTGGCGCCCTTACCACTCATATGTAAAAAGTGCTTCTCTTCGAATTCTTTAATTAGAGCAGATGGGCTATCGACTGCACCACTCCTCTTTTGGCTAGCTCCGCCGCTCTTGTGTATAAGGGAGATATTCACCGAAACGTCATCTAAGAGACCGCATTGTGAGCCAACTGTCTTGCACGATGACGTTCCCGAAAAATCCATCTTGCTATCTAGCGATTCGTTCTCATTGTCGGTACTATTAATCAATCGATGCTGCAAGCTGCTCTTTTGCTTAGAACACATAACGTAATCGTCAGAGTCAGAGTCATACGTTTCTGCTATGCGATCATCATTTGCCCCTACCTTAAAGAGTGTCTGTTCTGCAAACTGCACTCGCGCCCTGCGTGGCTTATCTCTTTTGGGATGCTTAAACGGGTACTGAAACTCCTCTGTCAAGACGTTAGTGGTATCAGATACAAAGGCTATCGGCTCTATTTTTGCTAGCCCGAGAGGCTCTACTTTTTGTGCCAGTCTATTACAGCGAAGTACTTGAGGAAGTGAGATGGTCGTTTCCAATTTTAGTTCTGGCAAATGCGACTGTTCGGCAGCAGACGTTTTTAGATTAATGGATTCTGTAGTGACTAGTTGTGTAGGCTTAGATGCCACGTGACGCATAGAGAGAGCTTTTGACACAGGGGCACATGTCACCAAGTAGGGATTCTTATAGTATTCATGATTCTCATGAAAAGTAAATGTGGAAATAGTGGGAGCTGGCAAAGATAAAGATTGTGTATCGGCACCAGCTGACTTCGGGTTCAACTCGCTTATAGTATCAGTATGAGTAATAGGACTTACAGATTCTAGATCTGAGTATGCGGTCAAGGGAGCCTTGGAGCTCGCGGAAAGAGAAGATGGCTGCACAAGTGGTAAAGAATCAAAGAAAGAAATGGGCATGGATCTAACGGGGCTGTCTGGAGAAATTGCACTACTAGATCTATGAGAGATCCTAGTTTGCGTTCCAGTTAAGTTAAAAACGCCTCCCTCTAACGTTGATTTGAAAGGCAGGCTCTCTTCTAAGCGCCGCCCAGTCCCGTCTTGCTTTTCTGTTTCAAGGAGGCGGCGCATATCATCCGGATTAAAAAGCTGCATTGATAGTCCTGAAAGCATATCAATCTTAGAGTTATTATATTGAGACATATTAATTAGTGGGTGATTTTCTTTGGCTTCTAATGGTTTATCTTTTGCTGAAATGAGAGTGGTAAATGCGGCCCTAGACTGAGATCTGAGAATGGGTCCACTGACAGACCTTTCTTCAACGGGGAGTCCGTCAATGTTAAGCGTTGTGTGCCCTTTACCCGTTGTGGGTGGTTGGGACATAGAAAGACTGTGTCCTGTGGGGGCAAGTTTGTTCAATTCCCAGGAGGGAACGGGTTTGTGAGTGCACTCTCGTGCCTCGTCAAGCAGGCGAGAGCTTAGCTTACAGCTGCAGTGGCGCAGCTCCTGCACAGAACAATTCTTTCCGTGGTAGGCGTACTCTCCGTTCCGAAGGGAGCGCCGTACAATTGCGGGAAGCATGTGCTGTGATGTTGCTGCAGCAGTTGCTAGTTCTACCTGTTCAGCAGTATACATCTGACCTGCGCGACGCTGAAGCTCCAGCCTCTTCAAAATGCATTCCTTGTGTTTCATGCGCAGCTCGTGCCGCCGGATGTCCTGCTCATCCCATTTGCGCTCCTTTTCATTGAACTGTTCCCGAAGGAGATCCTCAAGCTTATCTACAATAGATGGCCCGTTGGCTCCTTTATGTAAATCATCCATGCCTAAAATCCGAGTGACTTTAGAATAAAAATCCCTTTCAGTTTTTACCGGCCCTCCATACTTCAATAGGACAGTCAATCTTGAAATGTAGAAAGAACTATGCTAGTTGCAAAGCGAGACATCTAATCACTAAGAGTCTGCATTGGAATTCAGCGCGTTCTTATAAGCTTATTGTCCATCCACTTTACTTAGGGGAATACTGTCAAGACCTTTTTTACCACGGTAGAAAGCATGCTTGCGACATTACTGACTTCTACTTGCTTTACAATCACCCACATCCCCCAGTTATCAACAGCCTCCATCAATGTATACCATATACTCGTTTAGTCATGGATTTACATGAGCAATATTTAATGCGTATTGGTCTTCAGAAGCACTTTTATAGGACGAGAATGGCGTCTACCTGTCTCCAGGTAGTTCTAGTGAAGATTTTATGCAATTAGAAACGACGCACTACTACCGTTTACTTGAGTCACCCGCATCTATCTCGCTGTCTAACAAAGCAAGTATCTGTACCCTACTATTATGGTCGTCGTGATTGGGATATTTGGCATAGAATTCTACATAATTTCCGTCATCATCTGGTATGTACCTTTCTTTAGCCAGCACAAGCTTCAGACAGTCATGCTTGCCATAGTAGGCTGCAAGCATTAATGCAGTCATTCCATCCTTGTTTTTGAAGCCTATCTCGTACTTCGCGAGTTCTTCCACAATAGAATCAAACCCGCTTTTACAGGCATACATCAGTGCAGTGTTGCCTTCCCAATCTTGAGCCCCTGCTTCTGCTATCAAATAGGGTATTGCTCCGACGTTGTTGTTTATGGCAGCAAGCATCAGAGCTGTTACACCATTGGTGGCACACTTTCCTATTTGGCTTTTATATGCGTCGAAGTTCTTTAGCACTGCTCTTGTTGTCGCAAAGAACATCAAACTTGTATATCCAGAGATCCCTATCTCACTAACCAGTAATTGGCAGGTGCTTCTATCCCCTGACTCCGATGCGATCATAAGGGCGCTATATCCATTATTATTAGTGGCTCCTGCTTCGTAGCTTGTTATGAGAGAAGCTATTTCTGTATGTCCATTTCTGGCAGCGTGCATCAAGGCCGTGTTGCCGTACTGATCTCGAGCTTTGGCCTCCCACGTTACAAGCATCCTTGTACATGCAATTGACCCTGATTGCGCGGCAAGAATGAGAGCCGTTCTTCCTCGCTTATCCTGCATTCGTGCTTCATCCGTCAAAAACTCAAGCACTTTGTCTTGACCGGCGGCAGCAGCAAGCATAAGCGCAGTTGTGCCATCCTTCATAGATCTTCCTTTCTCCATATTGAAAAGATGCTTGACTGCCTCTACGTGGCCGTGCTCTGAGGCGAACATTAGTGCGGTTTTCCCCGATGAATAGGGGCCAGAAAGCTCCATCCCGCCTTCACACTGACAAAGGAGCTGGACTACACTGCTGTGACCCCCTCCACTGGCAAACATAAGGGCCGTCTTACCATCGTTTGTTGAGATTCGAGCCTCGCTATTTGCAAGCAGTTCACAGACTTCTAGATGCCCTCGTTCTGCAGCATACATTAGGGCTGTTTTTCCTTCGTATGTTTGCGCTTTTAACGCTGCATACCATTTATCTGGTTTGCTACATATCATCCGGACCAGCCATATGTTCCCTGACGAAGCTGCAATCATTAGTGGTGTTTCGCCTTTTTCATTTCTGAGATCGCCTTCCTCCTTTAGCAAGGCCTCTGTAACAAATTGGCAGCTGAGGTTTTTATCGTCGTCCCTTCTACTGTATTTCGCTAGCATGAGTAATGCAGTGTAATCATTGATCCAATCGTTTGTAGTCTGAAGCCTTATCTCTTCTGCGACAAGTAGAGATGCTATTTTGTAGCGCCGCAGCTTGACGGCAAGCATGAGGGCGCTCCAGCCTTTATCACACTTAAGTGAGATCTGTCTTCCTGCCAGATGAGTAAGCCTACAAGCCCTATCATAGTCATCACACGCAACCGCATACATGAGCATCGTGAAGCCACCGAGATTGATCTCTCCATAAAGAAGTTGAACGCACTTCATGTGGCCTTCAGTTGCTGCAAGCATTAAGGCGCTCCATCCATCGTCACTGATCAATCCTGACTCAGGAACCAGTCTGGCGACAGCATCAGCATTGCCGCGGAATGCAGCAATCATTAATGCTGAAGCCCCTGTTATGCTTATAGAATCTCCAGGAAACGTGATACTGTTCATCTCTATGGCTTTGGTATACTGCTGCATCATCAGGGCTGATGAAGAATTATCAACGTGGAAATTCTCATCTTCTTGTGCTAACTGCATAAGACTCGTCTGCTCAGTTGTACGGAGCCCTGTGCGCGGAGTCATACTAATCGAGATTTCATTGATCCGTAAGGTTGTTATAATTGTAGCAATCTCCTGAGCATTTCCAAGACTAAGAGCCCGTATGTAAGCGTTCTGTAATAGAAGATAGCCAGATTTTTGGGTTCTCAGAGAATTTCTCAAGGTACTTCGGCATTCACTGTGCATGGTTTTGCTCTTGGTTATCGGCTGCAAATTCCATTGTTCATGCTTTTTACCCCTCGATATCTGTACTGGAACAGTCAAACTCATTGGTTGTGAAGAGGTACACTTCAAACGGTAGTCTCCACTTAATTCTCCCATGCGTTCATTCGATAAAAGAAGCGGGGCATCTTCCAGGAGGCTAGTCATGCTAATTACCTTATTGCTTTCCTGGTCCATGTTCATATTCAGTTAGCGCTACTAACTTTAGATAGAGTATTTCAAAATAGTTTGTACAACTGGAATCTGACCTAAAACTGGAATCCACACTGAAGTATACGAGGGAAGGTAAAAAGACAAATAGTCATTTACTTCTGAATCGTAATAGGAATATCAACAGAAGGCTCAGGTGTGACTATGTTGCAAGGAATACGGATAACGACAATCTTGTTTGCATACGACGCAACGACCTTATCAGCAGGATAATTTTCCTTCAGGGAGGCGCTAAGAAGCTTGATTCCATCTGCCTCTACAGTGATGGCGCCGGTATTGGAGATTGTTATGGACGGCTTTGTTTCTGATACAATATGAAACGTGACCACTCCACGTGCGACAATCGGCATGCTTCCGTGATGAACGGTGACAGGAAGCTCATTCATATCTTTGGATGACAGAAATGGGCAGGGTTTGGGACCGGTCCAGCGCTCTTCTTTTGAACAGTGGGGTCCATGATGTCCCCTGCCCTTAATAAAGTGGGAGAACGGGGGCCCGTGTTTCCAGAATTTGCGGCGCTCGCGGTCGCAGCAGTATGGGCCTGGGCCCTGTCTACAGCACTCCCTTTCATCATGGCCAGCTTCGCACTCACAGCTAGAGGACGATGATGAGCTGGAGCTTTCATCCGGTGGACGCCTTCCATGATGCCTCCTTCCAAAGAACTCGCCGTTGGCGTGCCTTGGGTTGAACATTTTTTTCTTTGAACTTAAACTTGAAATTGATTATTGATATATTGATTAAGTTCATTAGAGATCCACTAATTATCATCTAAGAATAGATTTCGAATGCGTAGCTGAGCTGATAGTCGAGTCATTTGGTTCTCTTTTAAAAATGTCAATTCTGGACAAGTTCACTTGGTTCAACGTTTGTCGGGCTGGACTCGTTAATCAGATAAAGGATAACATTGCTAAGTTTAAGACTGTGCGGGACGAGGTCACCGGGGCTACAGCTCTCATGCATGCGTGTGTTGATAACAATCTTGAGGTTGTGCGAATTCTGCTACCATATGAGGATGTTATCACTGATAATAGTGGGAAGACAGGTCTCATGATTGCTGCAGAGCACGGGTACCTGGATTTAGCCAGACTTTTAATGGTGACTCAGGTTGGAAAGCAGCGCGAGAATGGCCAAACTGCACTCATGCATGCGGCAGCCTATGACTTTGAAGAGGTCGTAGAGCTTCTTTTGCCGAGGGAGGGTACAATGACAGACAACAATGGATGGACAGCGCTCATGTGTGCCGCCTGGCGAGGATCTAATAAGGCCGCGTTGGTTTTGGCTAAGGTGGAGGCAGGAATGGCTAGCAAGCAAGGAGAGACCGCCTTTCTTTGTGCGTGTGATGCTGGTAACTATGAGCTTGCCAGGCTTCTGTTGGAGAAAGAAGGTAGAAGCACGCTGCGGACAGGAGAAACCGGTCTTCACCTGGCTGCACGGAGTGGGTGCAAGGCTATTGTAGAGCTTCTTCTGGAACCGCTTTGTCGGAAGCAAACAAAGGCAGGAAAGACAGCTTTGATGTATGCAGCATCTGCGGGCAATTTGGAGATAGTAATGCTTTTATTAGAAAAAGAAGTAGGATACCAAGATACAGACGGGCGCACAGCTACCATGAATGCCATCCTGAATGGACATGAGGGTTGCATGACAGCTTTGTTGCCTCATGAGAAGGAGATTGTCGATAAAAAGGGGCAGACTGCTCTAATTGTTGCTCAGAGCACAACGCCCAGTGTAATGTCTTACCATGTAGCTGCTTTATTAGGTGGAATCATAGATCCAGAAACAGGGAGCACTACTCTGATACAGGCAGCACGACGTGGTTTGTCCGATATTGTTGGGATTCTTGTTCCTGCCCAAACAAACTTAACTGATGAAAGTGGAATGTGTGCAATTCACTATGCTGTTGCGAGTCACAATCTGGAGTGCATTAGGTTGTTGAAGCAATATGAAGGTAAGACACTCAATGCCAATGGGCATCATGCCCTGATAATGGCTGTGATAGAGGGAGATGTCTCTGTCATACTAGAACTTATTGAACACTCTTGGATTCCAGATGCAGAAGGCAACTATCCAATTACATACTGTAAGGAAGATCCACTGAGCGATATCTATCAGCTCCTCTTCTCCCACATGATGCGGACACACCCCAATTTTAAGGCTGTTACATCAGCGTTCTGCCTTGCTCTTCATACATGCTTCTCGTTGCTACTTAATGACTACCCCGATAACGATGATTTTGAATTTCTCTCGGAGTTTCTGCTGCTCATATCTGATCTCTTCTTCAGTCCAGAAAGGATTACTGCTACACAGATAACGGGAGAGATTACTACGCTCCTGGACAGCTTCACTGCGACGGTCCACGAGTTCCCCTGCTGCGTCTGCATAGACCGCCCGGCCTTCGTCATCATCCGGCCCTGCATGCACATGTGCATATGCAGCCAGTGCGTCGCGTCTCTGCGTGGGCGGTGCCCGTACTGCCAGCGCGCCGTTACAGAGCACTTCGAGATTGCCCTCGAGAAGTGAACAAAGCACACCCGACGGGACTTGAACCCGCAACCCCCAGATCCGAAGTCTGGTGCGCTATCCATTGCGCCACGGGTGCCTTGGCGCGCGCAAAACCACTACACGCACATAAGCGTTGTGACGAGTGTATGGATATAGGCTAAACAAAAATGCTTCTGGCCATTCTCGCGGCGCTCCTCGGGGCCGAGGTTCGACAGTGCGTTTACTACGAAAACGACAGCTTTACTCTTGTACCTCTCGAGGACAAGGGCCACAACTGCGTCGCCACTACCATTTCTGACATCGAGGTCTTCAACGAGACGGGCTGGATGCGCTTCAACGTCACGACGAGCGCAAGCTATCCAGACTTCATCCAGATGCGCGCAGTCGGATTCGCTGAGGGCAAGATCTTCCAGCACCACATCTTCAACCATTATCATAATCTCAAGGACTGGTTCCTCTTTGCATACCTTCACGCAGACGACTACCCCCAAGAGCTCTACGACTTTCTTCAGGAGAACCTTGACTGGACCCGTAGCACTGCCTACAAGTACGCCGAGGTTGACAGCTTCTGGCGTCAGGTCGCCTACACACTCGATCACTTCGACGGGCTGGTAGAGGCGTATCGGGCAACGGCTCCGCAGGAGGAGATGCTTTCAGAGCTGGACCTCTGGACGTACCTATCGAGCGGCGATCTTCTCGATATCGTAAACTTTGCAGTGCCATCCACACGGATGGACTTCTCAAAGATGACGCGCGAGGAAATCTCCGACTATCTCGCTTTTAGAAGCCATTGCAGCGGCCTTGTTTACTACAATGGCGACACCGTCTACATTGGCCAAACAGCCTGGTTCTTCTATGGTGGCATGACTCGTGTCTTCAAGGGATACACTCTCAACCTTAACGATGTGTCTAATGCAGCCGAAACGCTCACGTTTAGCTCATACCCAGGCTTCTCCTACTCATTTGACGACTGGACAGTGACCTCGCAAGGACTTGTTATCATTGAAACGACAGCCAACGTTCTAAACACCAGCCTGTATGATAACTGCACGCCTAGGTCTGTTCTCACGTGGATTCGCTCCCAGGTGGCCTCCCGGATGGCAGTCTCAGGCGCCGGCTGGCATCAAGCCAACAGTCAGTACAACTCTGGAACGTATAACAACCAGTGGATTGTCGTCGACCTTAAGCAAATTGAGAGTATGACCGTGTACAAGAACAACTTTGTTTGGGTTAGCGAGCAGATGCCCGGATATATCGTTTCGGAAGATGTCGCCCATGATATGACTTATGGCGGATACTACTTCCCATCTTACAACACGCCCTTCTTCGATGAGCTCTGGATTGTCGCTGGCTATCCCAGCGTCGCAGAGGGTGATGCCAGCTATCGTTATGACAAGAATCCTCGTGGACTTATGTTTGCACGCGATGTTCCACAGATTACTGGCATCGACGATATGAAGAGGATCATGCGCTATAATAAGTGGCAAACAGATCCGCTTGCAATTACCGAGGGCCAGACGGAGCCAGATCCAGGGAACGGCATCTCTGCCAGGTACGATCTGCGCCTCGATGAGTCTCGTCGTAAGGCATTCGGAGGTTACGATGCAAAGATCCTTAGCTATAATGGCCATAGCAGGAAGATGATCGCGTACTTTATCTCTGGGCCCACGACAGACGATCAAGAGCCATGGGACTTCTCCAAGAGCACCCTTTACTGTCCTCGTAGAGGTCTTAAGGATGGTCCGTACCAGTATGATTGGCAAGAACTACACCTTCCTGTTTATTGGCATAACAATATGTAAGCTCTTCCACAGTAAATTGCTTTTCCATGTGATGGCGCCTCAATGAACTGTTGTGTATGCTGCGCTGCTGGGGTCTTGCCCGCAAATGCGGTCCAAAAATCTCACGAGCAAGCCTCGCCCACTTCCTGGCCAGTCTGGAGATGAAGATTGGTCGCATATGATAGCAGTACGAGATTCCCTTTATCAGTATATCCAGAGCCCGACGCCTTCCTTGGTCGCTTCGTGTTGTGTACTCTGTCTGGAGACGCGCATCCAGGGCTCACGCATTCATGTTATTCACCAATGGTACCTCTCCTTGGCCTGCCGTCAGGATGAATGAAACTCAGGTCGTCCCTGCACTTCTTGACCTCCTCGCTGTGGTATCCCTCTGGCTGCTGGATGACACCCACGCCCACCGCCTTGCGTTTGTGTCGGGCTCTGCTCTGGCCGCCGGGCTGGCCTGATCTCCAGCTTGCGTTGCACTCCCCGAGACACGGAGGCACAGGTACCGACGATCGCATGGAGCTCCTGGTCGTCCCTCTGCACCGGTGGAGAGGAGCCCCTGCTTGCTGTCTACAACCGCCCTCGGACTGGCCAAGAGTCGAGCACGAGCTTATCCCGAGGCCTCCGAATGCACCGGAGACGGGCTCCGATGGCACAGCACTCGATGCGATTCTTCCTGCTTGCACCCTAACTGAGGCCTGTGCACTGAGAGGCCGGTGGCACCCACCCGCTGGGGGCAGGCCACGATCTGGTGGTCCGGAAGGCGCTTGCAAGGGGCTGGGCGTCAGTCCAGGGGATGATCCAGGCCCTAAGCATTCACTCTCTATGAGCTGCGGCCCGACAGCCACAGAGCTAGAACTCGTCCACCGTCCCCATGAGCTCCACGTTCTCGGCCGCTGCCCTCTTCTTCGAGATCGGCTTCGATCCCCGCCGCCTCCGCAGGACGAGCCAGCATGCGAGGGCGACGGCCGCTATGATGAGAAGGGAGACAACGACTGCCACGGTGATCGTCGTGGAGCTGGAGCTGGCCTTCCTGGTCTGAGAGACGCATGTGTCATCCTGGAGAATGTACCCCTCCATGCATATACAGAGAGAGCCGACTGATTCTGATCCGCTTGGACAGCCTGAGGCGCAGGATCTCTTGCTCGGCTGGACGTTGTGATTGCTGTCCGCACATGAGAGGCACTCGCCACTTGCGCTGCAGCTCGAGCACCCTGTGGCGTCTGATGGACAGGTGTTCCTAGCGATGCATGCGCCATCACTACTGGGCTCAAAGCCCTCCGCACAGACGCATCTGCCACTACCATCTGGTTGCTGATTTGGTCCATTACACTGAGATACACACGAAGAACTATCTACCGAAACAAATCCTTGGGAACACTTTGTGCACATGACTCTGCTGTTGCTGAAGGTACATGTTTGGCACCCTTCGATACCGCATGGAGTACAAGCATAATTAGTATCATCTCCATAATACCCTTCACCACATCCAGCGGAGTCTACACACTCAGTCGTGCCAAGGTCATTATACTTGATGTACTTCCCCGAAGCACATGATATGCACCTATCGGGCCCAGAGCCTGTGCAATCTGCGCAAGCTGGATCGCATGGCTCGCATCTACTTGTGCCAGTGTCTAAGTAGGTTCCTGAGCCACAACTGCAGCGGCAAATACCATTTTCATCGCAGCTACCTGGATTATCTGCTGGACACGAGTCAACACAGGATGCACCGCCCACGGCTGCATACTTACTATCCTTACAGCCAATACAGATGGGAGTGCTGGAAGCATCAGAGCCAGGAACGCACATGGCGCAATTGGAAATGGAGGCATCACAGCTACTGCACCCAGGATCCTTCTTATAATACCCTTGCGCTTCATTACAAGTAGTGCATCTACCGTTGAAAGCTTCTACACAGATGCTACTGCCAAGGGGGTCACGAGTACTATAACATCCTCCTTCATACAAAAAGATGGTAAGACCTGGGAAGTTTTTATTACAGGCTGTGCATTTGCCAGAACTGACATCCTTGTTACAGCTCCCTCTTGCAGTTGTTGGCCCACAGTTTCCATTGTGGGGTGCTTCGCTAGTATTAGCACACTGCTTGCAAGCAGAGTAACCAGCTATATTTATCTGATTTTCTTCAGCGCATATATTGTTTCCCCCACTTTCCTTATTATAGCATCCGCCCTTATGGTAGACGTAACCAACTGCACAGTGAGTACAGTATCCGTTTTTGCATTCATTAGAGCCGACGTCTGTACACTGGCCATTGATCGGAGCTTTATCGTCAGCTGAACAAGAAGTACACTGAATACTAGCAGTGCTTGCAGCATTATTTGGTGCAGGATCTTCTGATAAAGAAACGCAGGTTGAACAACCATCCATTCCAACCTTACCATTGAAGCCAACAGTATCACCACACAGGATACACTTTTCCTCAGCATTAGTATCTGAATTCGTAAAAACATTTTCATAGTCTGTTTCGCAAACGCTACACATACCACTTGAAACAGTCTTACAGATGTGCGAGCCAGGCCACTCATCCTTGCTGTAGCAACCACCATAAAATAGGAAGTAAGTTGTCTCTGCATTAGGATCGTCACTTCTACTTCCCTTTCCACCAGTGCATGACGTGCAGCGCTGTCCGCCATTGCCACCATCTTCTTGAGCACAGATAGCTATATCTATAGATGAGTCTGCATCGTCTTTCCCCACGCACCCGCCATTGATAGGCACCTTTCCAGAGGTGCACTCTGTACATAGGGTAACTCCCCGCCCGAACCTGACGCACTTGTCTTGCACGCAGTTAGGCTTGTAGCCTGTACAGGCAACGTAGTAGTCATTCTTGTACGGAGTAGAGCCATCGCCCGGCTGGGCCGCTAAGCCGATAACCGCTAGACCGAAGAGAAACAATACCGACATCACTGAATTTTCCGGCGCACCTTTGCAACAGAACGAAAAGGTTTCTTGCAACCGAGTACATTAACTGCTAGCGAATCCGTGTGCGCATACTGAGATTCCCGTGTCTGAAGCATAACGTGGAGGGCAACTAGCGGTACGATGAGATGACTCGTTGAGCCGGAGTCGCACTGGGCTCAGCTTGTAAATGGAACCACTCCATGGAAGCCCCCTGCGTCACGGACCTGTGCTGATCAGCGCGCCCCTGCTCTCCATCCTGGTGCTGAACGGGTGATGTGCCACACAGGCAGACCTGGAGGCAGAAGAGGAAGGGAGGGGCGGGGCATTTTAATTCGCAAAATGAACTCGACGGAGAACGCGTAATCGCTCGACGGTGGCCCTGAAGAGGCATCGGACGGTACTCAGTCTGTTCACTAATAACCAGGCAGCGCACCCCTGCCAGCTAAACAACCAGTCCTCTGTCTCTTCGTAGGGAACAGGCAGAGCTACACTTGTTGAAGGAGCTCGGGTGTCACGCGACGCACGAGGACGTATCCCTTCCAGTCTCTTGCACGACTTCTCCAGCTTGTACTGCACAGTGCGAGCAGGCAAGGTCGATGCAAAACCGTTTACAAACACCGAACGTGATACTTGGCACCCGCTGAGGTAGAGCAGGCACTGCTGTATCACTAGACATACACCGATGAAGCTTGACAACCCTACATCGACTTGGAGGAAATGAGCGTCATAGTACTGGGGGACGCATCGATGCGTCTGCCCCTAAAAATGAACCACCAGCAAAGGAAACCGACCAAGACACCGACGACAAGCACGGCCATCGTTGTGCCTGCAGCAATTGCCACCAATTTCTTTTTGGTGAGCGTCTTGACCGGAGCGCAGATGCCCTTCGTGAGGACCGCGTCGAGCTCGCACATGCACACCCCCTGGTTCGATGAGGCCCTGGCACCGCACCCTTCTGCACACGTCCGCTGGTCTACTTGAACGTTGTGGCCCGAGGTGGCACACAAGAGGCACCTGCCCGACTCATCGCAGGCAGCACACGACGGCATGCCAGAGGGACACTCGGTTGGGAGCACACACCCGGACCTGTCCAGCGCCGGCAGGAAGCCCCGCTCGCACCAGCACCTCCGCACGCCGCCGGACACCTCTCCCACCACCTTGTCCCCGGTGCACTCCTCCAAGCACGACTGCCCGTCCAGGCTCACGAAGAGCTCCCCCGCGCACTCTGTGCAGAAGGAGGCATGCCCGCAGGTCTTGCACCCCGGAGTGGCGCAGGGCAGGCACGCGTCTCCGTATGCGTAGTACCCGTCCACACAGGCACCGGGGTCGACGCAGCCCCCGGTGGCGGCACCTGAGGCCTTCTTCAGGAGCTTGTCAGAGGGGCACCTGGTGCAGCGGCCGGGGCCAGGGGCAGTGCACGCCAGACATGTCGGATCGCACTCCAGTAGCTTTCCATCGGGCGATATCCCGTACCCCTCCTTGGTCGTTGTGCACTTCCCGCCTGACTGCTTGTCACAGATAGTGCTTCCCGGATAGTGTGCCTTTGTGTAGCAGCCCCCGTTCATCAGGAAGGCCGCTCCTGAGCATGTAGTACAAGTACCATTTGCCGTGCTGGTACAGTACGCGTCTTTTTGTGTGTTCGGAATACACACCCCGTTGAGAGGGTACATATTCGAGTCCTTGCAGCGCGTGCAGTACCTGCTGCCATCGATGGTGATGCCGCACTCTGCACAGTCGTCACCAACAGCGCACTCATCTACACACTTTGCATTATCGTCTGCAACGACTAACGACTCCAGGATCTTGCCGGGGCTGCACTGCTGGCAGCCGGTTGGTGTGCCATCCTTGCAGACAGCACATGAGTCCGTGCATGGTGTACACGTTCCGGAGCTGTTGTAGAACGTCGGCTTACAGACGCATCGACACGACACTTCAGTTGACTCGCTCCCCTCTGCTACCTTCGTGCACACTCCCTGAGTGTCTCCGCTGCAGCCTTCACTGCAGGATCTCCCATCCACTCCTAGGTATCCCGTCGAGCACCGCGTACACGTCACACCGTTATTGTACCCGCATGTAGCGCAGCCACGCACACCACTGCTGGTATCACCGCACAGGTATCGGTCGCCCCCCTCAGCTTTAGAGAAGGTGAAGTTAAAATTGCTACGCCATTGCTTACACACTCCACCCGCTGCTTCCAGACAGAGCTTTGAACCAACGTGGGAGTCTCTGTTATAGCAACCACCATAGAACAAGAAAGACTTCCCAGTGCTGGAGCAGTCTGTGCACAACCCTCTACTTGCATCTTTCGTGCAGTCAGAAAACAGGCTTCTGGAGGCGCTTTCCCCGACGAGAGTGCACCCCCCATTCTTGGGTGCATGCGACGTGTTCACGCACTCCGTGCAGATCGTCACGTTGTCTAGCTCGTACTGGTTCGCCTCTGCGCATATGGCAAATCCAGTCGAACTGTGTCGGCTGTAGCATCCATATTCATAGAACAAATGTGTCTTGTAGCATGACGTGCAGTAACCATTGACGCAGTTGTGAAGCCCTTTGGCTTGACACTGATAGTCAACTGGACCGATCCCGTTATTCTGTTTAGTATAACTGCATTTAGTGCACAACGCTGTACCTATCTCGCCTTTAATCGGTTGGATGCAGTACAGGCAATCGGAAGCGCCCCTGTACCCTCCAAATCCGACTGTATCGGAGCACAAGATACACCTTTCAGCTGCACTTGTGTCTGGGTTGGTAAAGACATACTTTTCAGTGGTGCTCACGTTGCACTCAGTGCACCTGCTGCTTGTTGCTTGACGACAGATCTCGCTCCCGATAGTAGATTGATCTATTGTATAGCAGCCACCGTAGAATAGAAACACGTTTTGCTCTGATTTGCACTCGACACACCGAGTCGGCGACGAGGTGTCATCTGGAACGCATGTAGAAGAATCATCCAGCAGCTGACACTTTCCATTTATCGGGACGTAGCCAGAAACGCACTGGGTGCACAGCTCTTCCCACCCCATAAAGACACACCTATTCTGGGCGCAGCTATCCCTGTGTTTGTTACATTCCACACCGAAGTTGTTGTGATACGTGTATGTGGAGGCCCCGCAGGAGGAGGCAAGGAGGAGTAGTGCTGGAAGACCTAGCATCGGTTTTTTGATTGTGGAAAGCTGCTGCAGCGTTTATCCAATAGACTCTTATGTGCATAAACTCGCCACTCAGCAATGTCTTGGATAAGCGCCTCTGGCTTTGCCGAGTGGAAATTCCTTGAGGTCTACCCTCTGTTCTCTTTGTTTGTCTCTGTAAATCTAGAGCTTGAGATGCTGCTCTTCGCAGAGATGCGCGTCGAGTGGGCGGTTTCCTTGGGGGCCATGCAACGGGAGACTTGAGTAAGCTTAGTTATAAGTCCACTATCAGAGGCACTGTCCGTAAGTGCTGAACGGACTGGGCACACAATCTGCACGGTTGAGCCCCGGAACGTGGGCCATCGACACTTCTGATTCTGGTCACAGTGAGTGTTATCCTCTTATGAGCAGATGCGCATGGAACCTGTGGCAGGGGAAACAGGGTTACGAGAAGCTGTGGCGATCATGCCCAGATAGCCGTGGAGGGTACATAAGAATCCATGTGTGGGCGCTCTAGGCATTCCAGGAGGACCCAGTAGAGGCAGCAGTCGATGTCACTGCTAAAAAATGACGGCCAGCCGACTTCTCGCCTCTGTGTGGTGGTCCTGAACAGAGCACAGCTGAGGCTTGTCGGCGACTTTTCCTCTTATCCAGGCAGATTGTATGAGAGCATAGTGAGGTTACATAACGGTGGACGCGTTTACTACCTGAGTCACGCCTTCCCCCTACATATGAACCACCAGCAGAGGAAGCCGACGAGGCCCCCCACGACGACGACCACGGCGACGGAGATCCCCGCGATGGCGCCTGTGCTGAGGCCGCTCCTGTTGGTGCCAGAGGACACACACTTACCATTGTCTAGACTGAAGCCACTGTTGCACTCCCCACATATATTATCCATCACACAGCTCTTACAACCACCCACAGAGCACAGGACACACCCACTGCCGTCCCTGTTGGGCTTCCTATCACTGTCACAGGAGGTACACACAGCAGCAGCCATACCACCCTCAGTCAGAGCTGTTGGGGCTGTGCACTGTGAGCAGCCATCCACCCCCACGTATGCCTTAGCAGTATCACCAGTGCCTGTCAGTGTGCCTAGGGGGTTGCTACAAGCCAACACGGACTGATCAGTGTTGGATGCCCCTGGGACCAGGAAGTACTTATTACTTGCTGCCTCTGTGCATATCCCATTACTACTTGATGCCTTGCACATGAAGCTACCTGGTTCTTGACCAACCTTATAACAGCCTCCCATATATAAGAAGTACCCTTGAGCACACTGTGTACATGTATGACTGTCACAGGTATTAGTTCCTTTCTTATTATTATCACTAGTACATATACCATCAATAGGGAACTTATTAGCCTCTCCACAGTAAGAACAATAGTGCTTTGTGGTGCCCTGATCATCTATTATCATGGCATCACAGGCGCCAGAGGTACCACCGCAAGCCGTTGTATCCTCGCAGGTCTTTGTACATGTGACCCCAGTTGAAGGGGTACCGTTTTGCTTGTAGTTGGGCTTACAGGAGTTGCAGGTCAACGAGCCAGAGAAGGTGCACGTTGCACATCCATCGATGCCCCCCTGTGCATTATCACAAGCAACGCACTCACCAGTAGGACCACTGCCTTTCATGAAGAATCCAGGCTTGCATTTAGTACACTGATTATTGCCAGTTTGAGTGCAGGTGGCACAATTATCACCACAGGCTGCGCATGTAACCGTACCACTACCACTACTGTAGTATCCAGCTAAGCACTCTGAGCAGGTTGGATTGGCACTTGCTGTCTTCGTGCAAGCCTTACAGCCAGCAATGCCTTTGTTCTTTGGGTCTGATCCGCTGGTATCGCTGCACAAGACACACGCAGCATCACCATCTGCCTTGAAGTGATCAGCATCCTCGCAGCCAGAGCTTATATCGACGCATGTCGTGGTGCCATCGATGGCCGTCTTCACCTTCTTATTGTTATTACAGGCGGTGCACTGGGGCTTACTGACAGTCGCATTGTACTTACAGGTAGTACATGCTTGATCTATCGTACTGCATTCCTTGCACGTTCCAGACTCTGGGTCTGGATAAACGGTGCTCGTGCATTGATCACTAGTTACGCAAGTCTTATCACCCTTCAAGTACTTCCCCTCTGGACACGATGTGCACTGGGCCGCCGATGTCTCACAGGTCAGACAAGTACCATCACACTTGCTACATGCCTGAAAGTCCTTGTAGTACCCTGCTTGACAGGCAGTACACGTGGCTGCCCCCTTATTACTATCTGACTTGGTGCATGTGGCGCAGTTAGCCACCCCCGTATACCCATCTGCTCCCGTGGCATCATGACAGAGTATGCACTCCCTTCCCTTCTCTGGTGCTGTAGCAGGGTTCTGGAATACGTACTTGTTATCTGTCTTACAAGCAGTGCACAGTCCATTACTGGCTGCTGTGCATATCACCCACTATCACACACTGCACAGCATTCACTACCTAAGTCACGCCTTCCCTCTACACACGAACCACCAGCAGAGGAAGCCGACGAGGCCCCCCACGACGGCGACCACAGCCACGGAGATCCCCGCGATGGCCCCCGCGGAGAGCCCGCTCCTGTTGGCGCCAGAGGACACGCACCTGCCACCCTCTAGTCTGTACCCATCACTGCACTGGCCGCACTTGTTCTCCTCGCTGCACCTGACGCACCCGTCGATACTGCAGGCGATGCACTGGGAGCCGTCCAGGCTGGGCCTCTGGTCTTTACTGGTACAGCCCTCGCACTTATCGCCTGCTCCACAGTGCGAACATCCACTAACGGTACATGCGAAGCACCCGCTCCCAGCCAGGTTGGGCTTGTTGTTGCCGCTACACGCTGTGCACGTGGCGGGGGCCATGCCAGGAGCCTCTAGCTGTGTCGGGGCTGTACATGCTGAGCAGCCATCTACTCCCACATATGCCTTAGCAGTATCACCAGTGCCTGTCAGTGTGCCTAGGGGGTTGCTACAAGCCAACACGGACTGATCAGTGTTGGATGCCCCTGGGACCAGGAAGTACCTATTGTTGGCCGCCTCTGTGCATATCCCACTACTATCTGCTGTCTTGCACATATAGTTGCCAGGCTGAGCTGATACACTATAACAGCCACCCATGTATAGGAAGTACCCCGTAGTACATGATGTACAGACATGGTTGTTACAAGTATTACTTTGAGCATCACTATTACATATACCATCGATAGGGAACTTATTGGTCTCTCCACAGTATGAACAATAGTGCTTTGCATTGCCCTTATCATCTATTATCATGGCATCGCAAGCTCCAGAGGTACCACCACAAGCTGTAGGATCCTCACAAGTCTTGGTACATGTGACAGAGCCAGGACTGCTATCGCTCTGCTTGCGATAGTTGGGCTTACAATCGGTGCACTTGAAAGTATTGCCATCATTCGAGCAGACACTGCATCCATCGATGCCACCTTTGGCTGTGTCACTACAAGGGACGCACTCCTTTGTTACACCCTCGGTTTTTAGGAAGTATCCCGGCATGCATTCAGTACATTTGTTAATGTCAGTTTCAGCAGTACACTTTGCACAGGTATCAGCGCATTTCTTCGTACAAGTATTAGTCTCAAGAAAACGACCCGATAGGCATTCAGAGCACGTTGTTTTGGTACCTGCCTCCTTGGTGCATTTGTTGCAATCGGCAACACCCTTGTTTGTATTCTCATTATTTCCACTAATATCACCACATAGATAACAGGCTGAGTCATCGTCTGCCTTGAAGTGATTCTCATCCACACATCCAGAGCTCATATCAACACAGGTTGTCGTTCCATCCAGCTCTGTCTTTACCTTCTTATTACCGCAGTCACTGCATACCGGCTTCTGTAGCTTTGCATCGTACGTGCAAGCAGTGCACTCTGGTATGCCCCCCTGCTCTGCTGCACCGTTACAGGCTGTGCACTTGCCGGTGCTTGGGTCGGGGTACTGGTTATTATCGCAGGTTTTTGAGCACGACCCGTCTGACTTCAGATAGAAGCCCGCTTTACAAGATGAACACTGATTCTGACCGGCCCCGGTACATGTGGCACAGTTGTCATTACATTTGGTACATGCCTGAGAGTCCATGTAGTATCCATCTCTGCAGGTACTACACGTGGCAGGTCCTGTACTACTGTCTGACTTGGTACACTGTGCGCAGTTAGCCACCCCCGTATATCCATCTGCTCCATTGATATCGGAGCACAGTATGCACTCCCTTCCCTTCTCTGGTGTTGCAGCCGGGTTCTTGAACAGGCCGTTAGCTGTATTACACTCAGTGCACACTCCTCCCTCAGCCTTTGTACATATCTCACTCCACTATCATACTATCACACGCTATCACCCATTATCACCCTCTATCACACATTATCACCCATTATCATCACTCATAGCATTCACTACCTAAGTCACGCCTTCCCTCTACACACGAACCACCAGCAGAGGAAGCCCACGAGGCCCCCCACGACAGCGACCACAGCCACGGAGATCCCCGCGATGGCCCCCGCGGAGAGCCCGCTCCTGTTGGCGCCAGAGGACACGCACCTGCCACCCTCTAGTCTGTACCCATCACTGCACTGGCCGCACTTGTTCTCCTCGCTGCACCTGACGCACCCGTCGATACTGCAGGCGATGCACTGGGAGCCGTCCAGGCTGGGCCTCTGGTCTTTACTGGTACAGCCCTCGCACTTATCGCCTGCTCCACAGTGCGAACATCCACTAACGGTACATGCGAAGCACCCGCTCCCAGCCAGGTTGGGCTTGTTGTTGCCGCTACACGCTGTGCACGTGGCGGGGGCCATGCCAGGAGCCTCTAGCTGTGTCGGGGCTGTACATGCTGAGCAGCCATCTACTCCCACATATGCCTTAGCAGTATCACCAGTGCCTGTCAGTGTGCCTAGGGGGTTGCTACAAGCCAACACGGACTGATCAGTGTTGGATGCCCCTGGGACCAGGAAGTACTTATTACTTGCTGCCTCTGTGCATATCCCATTAC